CATGTACTGATGGACTGATGTTTGCCTTGCCCATGCTGACTGACATGTTGTGATGGCCTGTAGTTACATGTACTGGTGGACTGATGTTTGCCTTGCCCATGCTGACTGACATGTTGGGATGGCCTGTAGTTACATGTACTACTGATGTTTGCCTTGCCCATGCTGACTGACATGTTGTGATGGCCTGTAGTTACATGTACTGGTGGCCTGATGTTTGCCTTGCCCATGCTGACTGACATGTTGGGATGGCCTGTAGTTACATGTACTACTGATGTTTGCCTTGCCCATGCTGACTGACATGTTGGGATGGCCTGTAGTTACATGTACTGGTGGCCTGATGTTTGCCTTGCCCATGCTGACTGACATGTTGGGATGGCCTGTAGCTACATGTACTGATGGACTGATGTTTGCCTTGCCCATGCTGACTGACATGTTGGGATGGCCTGTAGCTACATGTACTGGTGGACTGATGTTTGCCTTGCCCATGCTGACTGACATGTTGGGATGGCCTGTAGCTACATGTACTGGTGGACTGATGTTTGCCTTGCCCATGCTGACTGACATGTTGTGATGGCCTGTAGCTACATGTACTACTGATGTTTGCCTTGCCCATGCTGACTGACATGTTGTGATGGCCTGTAGCTACATGTACTGGTGGACTGATGTTTGCCTTGCCCATGCTGACTGACATGTTGTGATGGCCTGTAGTTACATGTACTGGTGGACTGATGTTTGCCTTGCCCATGCTGACTGACATGTTGTGATGGCCTGTAGTTACATGTACTACTGATGTTTGCCTTGCCCATGCTGACTGACATGTTGTGATGGCCTGTAGTTACATGTACTGGTAGACTGATGTTTGCCTTGCCCATGCTGACTGACATGTTGTGATGGCCTGTAGTTACATGTACTGGTGGACTGATGTTTGCCTTGCCCATGCTGACTGACATGTTGTGATGGCCTGTAGTTACATGTACTGGTGGACTGATGTTTGCCTTGCCCATGCTGACTGACATGTTGGGATGGCCTGTAGTTACATGTACTGATGGACTAATGTTTGCCTTGCCCATGCTGACTGACATGTTGTGATGGCCTGTAGTTACATGTACTACTGATGTTTGCCTTGCCCATGCTGACTGACATGTTGTGATGGCCTGTAGTTACATGTACTGGTGGCCTGATGTTTGCCTTGCCCATGCTGACTGACATGTTGGGATGGCCTGTAGCTACATGTACTGGTGGACTGATGTTTGCCTTGCCCATGCTGACTGACATGTTGTGATGGCCTGTAGTTACATGTACTGGTGGACTGATGTTTGCCTTGCCCATGCTGACTAACATGTTGTGATGGCCTGTAGTTACATGTACTACTGATGTTTGCCTTGCCCATGCTGACTGACATGTTGTGATGGCCTGTAGTTACATGTACTGGTGGACTGATGTTTGCCTTGCCCATGCTGACTGACATGTTGGGATGGCCTGTAGTTACATGTACTGGTGGACTGATGTTTGCCTTGCCCATGCTGACTGACATGTTGGGATGGCCTGTAGCTACATGTACTGGTGGACTGATGTTTGCCTTGCCCATGCTGACTGACATGTTGTGATGGCCTGTAGGTACATGTACTACTGATGTTTGCCTTGCCCATGCTGACTGACATGTTGGGATGGCCTTTAGTTACATGTACTGGTGGACTGATGTTTGCCTTGCCCATGCTGACTGACATGTTGTGATGGCCTGTAGTTACATGTACTGGTGGACTGATGTTTGCCTTGCCCATGCTGACTGACATGTTGTGATGGACTGTAGTTACATGTACTGGTGGACTGATGTTTGCCTTGCCCATGCTGTCTGACATGTTGTGATGGCCTGTAGCTACATGTCCTGGTGGACTGATGTTTGCCTTGCCCATGCTGACTGACATGTTGGGATGGCCTGTAGCTACATGTACTGGTGGACTGATGTTTGCCTTGCCCATGCTGACTGACATGTTGTGATGGCCTGTAGGTACATGTACTACTGATGTTTGCCTTGCCCATGCTGACTGACATGTTGTGATGGCCTTTAGTTACATGTACTGGTGGACTGATGTTTGCCTTGCCCATGCTGACTGACATGTTGTGATGGCCTGTAGTTACATGTACTGGTGGACTGATGTTTGCCTTGCCCATGCTGACTGACATGTTGTGATGGCCTGTAGTTACATGTACTGGTGGACTGATGTTTGCCTTGCCCATGCTGACTGACATGTTGTGATGGCCTGTAGTTACATGTACTACTGATGTTTGCCTTGCCCATGCTGACTGACATGTTGTGATGGCCTGTAGCTACATGTACTGGTGGACTGATGTTTGCCTTGCCCATGCTGACTGACATGTTGGGATGGCCTGTAGCTACATGTACTGGTGGACTGATGTTTGCCTTGCCCATGCTGACTGACATGTTGTGATGGCCTGTAGTTACATGTACTACTGATGTTTGCCTTGCCCATGCTGACTGACATGTTGTGATGGCCTGTAGTTACATGTACTGGTGGACTGATGTTTGCCTTGCCCATGCTGACTGACATGTTGTGATGGCCTGTAGTTACATGTACTGGTGGACTGATGTTTGCCTTGCCCATGCTGACTGACATGTTGGGATGGCCTGTAGTTACATGTACTAGTGGACTGATGTTTGCTTTGCCCATGCTGACTGTTTGGATGGCCTGTAGTTACATGTACTGGTGGACTGATGTTTGCCTTGCCCATGCTGACTGACATGTTGTGATGGCCTGTAGTTACATGTACTGGTGGACTGATGTTTGCCTTGCCCATGCTGACTGACATGTTGGGATGGCCTGTAGTTACATGTACTACTGATGTTTGCCTTGCCCATGCTGACTGACATGTTGTGATGGCCTGTAGTTACATGTACTGGTGGACTGATGTTTGCCTTGCCCATGCTGACTGACATGTTGTGATGGCCTGTAGTTACATGTACTGGTGGACTGATGTTTGCCTTGCCCATGCTGACTGACATGTTGTGATGGCCTGTAGTTACATGTACTACTGATGTTTGCCTTGCCCATGCTGACTGACATGTTGGGATGGCCTGTAGTTACATGTACTACTGATGTTTGCCTTGCCCATGCTGACTGACATGTTTGGATGGCCTGTAGTTACATGTACTGGTGGACTGATGTTTGCCTTGCCCATGCTGACTGACATGTTGTGATGGCCTGTAGTTACATGTACTGGTGGACTGATGTTTGCCTTGCCCATGCTGACTGACATGTTGGGATGGCCTGTAGTTACATGTACTACTGATGTTTGCCTTGCCCATGCTGACTGACATGTTGGGATGGCCTGTAGTTACATGTACTGGTGGACTGATGTTTGCCTTGCCCATGCTGACTGACATGTTGTGATGGCCTGTAGTTACATGTACTGGTGGACTGATGTTTGCCTTGCCCATGCTGACTGACATGTTGGGATGGCCTGTAGTTACATGTACTACTGATGTTTGCCTTTCCCATGCTGACTGACATGTTGTGATGGCCTGTAGTTACATGTACTGGTGGACTGATGTTTGCCTTGCCCATGCTGACTGACAGGTTGGGATGGCCTGTAGCTACATGTACTGGTGGACTGATGTTTGCCTTGCCAATGCTGACTGACATGTTGGGATGGCCTGTAGTTACATGTACTACTGATGTTTGCCTTGCCCATGCTGACTGACATGTTGTGATGGCCTGTAGTTACATGTACTACTGATGTTTGCCTTGCCCATGCTGACTGACATGTTGTGATGGCCTGTAGTTACATGTACTAGTGGACTGATGTTTGCTTTGCCCATGCTGACTGTTTGGATGGCCTGTAGTTACATGTACTGGTGGACTGATGTTTGCCTTGCCCATGCTGACTGACATGTTGGGATGGCCTGTAGTTACATGTACTACTGATGTTTGCCTTGCCCATGCTGACTGACATGTTGTGATGGCCTGTAGTTACATGTACTGGTGGACTGATGTTTGCCTTGCCCATGCTGACTGACATGTTGTGATGGCCTGTAGTTACATGTACTGGTGGACTGATGTTTGCCTTGCCCATGATGACTGACATGTTGTGATGGCCTGTAGTTACATGTACTACTGATGTTTGCCTTGCCCATGCTGACTGACATGTTGGGATGGCCTGTAGTTACATGTACTACTGATGTTTGCCTTGCCCATGCTGACTGACATGTTTGGATGGCCTGTAGTTACATGTACTGGTGGACTGATGTTTGCCTTGCCCATGCTGACTGACATGTTGTGATGGCCTGTAGTTACATGTACTGGTGGACTGATGTTTGCCTTGCCCATGCTGACTGACATGTTGGGATGGCCTGTAGTTACATGTACTACTGATGTTTGCCTTGCCCATGCTGACTGACATGTTGGGATGGCCTGTAGTTACATGTACTGGTGGACTGATGTTTGCCTTGCCCATGCTGACTGACATGTTGTGATGGCCTGTAGTTACATGTACTGGTGGACTGATGTTTGCCTTGCCCATGCTGACTGACATGTTGGGATGGCCTGTAGTTACATGTACTACTGATGTTTGCCTTGCCCATGCTGACTGACATGTTGTGATGGCCTGTAGTTACATGTACTGGTGGACTGATGTTTGCCTTGCCCATGCTGACTGACATGTTGGGTTGGCCTGTAGTTACATTACTACTGATGTTTGCCTTGCCCATGCTGACTGACATGTTGGGATGGCATGTAGTTACATGTACTGGTGGACTGATGTTTGCCTTGCCCATGCTGACTGTTTGGATGGCCTGTAGTTACATGTACTGATGGACTGATGTTTGCCTTGCCCATGCTGACTGTTTGGATGGCCTGTAGTTACATGTACTGATGGACTGATGTTTGCCTTGCCAATGCTGACTGTTTGGATGGCCTGTAGTTACATGTACTATTGATGTTGTTGGGAGATGCACTGGTGACTCATATGTGTTATGGTTTCAGCTGGTGGATTCAGCATCGATCAAGAAACGTCATCATCTGGGTCATCGGATGTGCAGCAGGACACGGATGTCTACTGTATCCGCAGCAACCTCCTGCCTGGAGACTCCCCATACCTACGCTGGTACATCTTCATTGACTTTCACACTGCAACTTATGTTTCTTTAGGTTACAATATTTATCAAAGACCTTGTTTCATCACTGATTTTTTATTCATGTTCTATTTAGTCAACATACTGAACAAATAAGTAAGGGGTCATGAATATTTTTGGGGTTATTTTTGTGTGGTGAGTGAGTGAGGTAAGTTTAACGCTGATTTTAACAGTATTCAGTATCACAGTGTGTCAGCTTATTGTGGAAGGAATGCTTCCACTTTGGTGAAACCTGAGAGCATGGATATGGTGTTGAAAAAACTAGAAACATTATTGGAGCGAATGGGGATTTGAACCCACAGTCATGGGTTTCTGGTATGCCCAAAGAATACAACTCTACAGATTTTTTTTTGTAGCTGTCTGAGCACACAATTGCATAAATACATCTTCCTGAGGCAAGGGAGTCAACTGACTATAAAAGTCCAGTTTCCATCCTTGCCGAAACAGGCTGGAATTTCTGGGCTTGATTGTAGTGCCACCAGTGGCCATTATGAGTTATGTCCCTTCTATGTCCTTCCCATTGACGAATTAGATTCCACCTCTCATATCACTTCCATTTGCTTCAAACAAAATGGCGGTGCCCAGTCAAGATGATCTGATCGATAAACAAAATCTATATTGTAATTAAAAGGGTCTTACTTCGCGAAGTTCTTCAAATCACATGAGCACCTTGATTTTAAAAATGAAAAGATTTGGAAAATATCTGTTGATGCCAAACTGGCGGTACAGATGCTCTGCAAATCCTGCAATCGACCGAAATCTGTACGGCAGTTTACGAACCGGATGTCGATTTCATTTCATGATTTTGATTGAACTATACAGAACTCTTTAGTCCAGCCAAAATATAACTAGGGTGTGGACTTTGAAAGTCAGTTAACTCCCTTGCCTGGGGAAGATGGCATAAATATGGCCCTAAAAATATTTGTAGTCCCTGACTTGTTTTGTTCAGTATAGTTATCATTATGTGTTTGTGTTTGTACTTTTGTTCTTTGTAAAGCTTTCACTCCATTCCTCTGCATGGAAAGCACACCTCCCTTAAACCAGGAGTTGGTTGCCTTGAAGGCTTTATATGAATTTGACTGTAGAAACTGGTATTATTAATGTCTTTTTTGCAACAGTGTCTATCTTATGAAGGACTTCTTCAAATGTCCTTGACATAATGTGTTCAGAGTAGCCACAAGAAAGGAAACACTCACTGAAGTACTGTTGGAAATGCTAGAAAAATGCTTTTTGCCTGTTAAAACACGACAAAGTTTCACAGACTATTGCTATTGAAATATCAAGTAGCTACTAATCTACCTACCTGTAGTTTGAAGTATTTCAGTCATAAGGAGTCCTGCTCTGTGTACAGTATTGTGTTGTGTTCTTGTATGTGTGTTCATAGAACCCTTGCTCGGTGTACAATATTGTGTTGTGTCCTGGTGTGTTGGTGTTCATAGAACCCTTGCTCTGTGTGCAATATTGTGTTGTGTTCTGGTGTGTGTGTTCATAGAACCCTTGCTCTGTGTGCAATATTGTGTTGTGTTCTGGTGTGTGTGTTCATAGAACCCTTGCTCTGTGTACAATATTGTGTTGTGTCCTGGTGTGTGTGTTCATAGAACTCTTGCTCTGTGTACAATATTGTGTTGTGTTCTGGTGTGTGTGTTCATAGAACTCTTGCTCTGTATGCAATATTGTGTTGTGTCCTGGTGTGTGTGTGTTCATAGAACCCTTGCTCTGTGTACAATATTGTGTTGTGTCCTGGTGTGTGTGTTCATAGAACCCTTGCTCTGTGTGCAATATTGTGTTGTGTTCTGGTGTGTGTGTTCATAGAACCCTTGCTCTGTGTACAATATTGTGTTGTGTTCTGGTGTGTGTGTTCATAGAACCCTTGCTCTGTATGCAATATTGTGTTGTGTTCTGGTGTGTGTGTTCATAGAACCCTTGCTCTGTGTACAATATTGTGTTGTGTTCTGGTGTGTGTGTTCATAGAACTCTTGCTCTGTATGCAATATTGTGTTGTGTCCTGGTGTGTGTGTGTTCATAGAACCCTTGCTCTGTGTACAATATTGTGTTGTGTTCTGGGGTGTGTGTTCATAGAACTCTTGCTCTGTGTACAATATTGTGTTGTGCTCTAGTGTGTGTGTTCATAGAACCCTTGCTCTGTGTGCAATATTGTGTTGAGTCCTGGTGTGTGTGTTCATAGAACTCTTGCTCTGTGTGCAATATTGTGTTGTGTCCTGGTGTGTGTGTTCATAGAACTCTTGCTCTGTGTACAATATTGTGTTGTGTTCTGGTGTGTGTGTTCATAGAACTCTTGCTCTGTATGCAATATTGTGTTGTGTCCTGGTGTGTGTGTGTTCATAGAACCCTTGCTCTGTGTACAATATTGTGTTGTGTTCTGGTGTGTGTGTTCATAGAACTCTTGCTCTGTGTACAATATTGTGTTGTGCTCTAGTGTGTGAATTTATAGAACCCTTGCTCTGTGTGCAATATTGTGTTGTGTTCTGGTGTGTGTGTTCATAGAACCCTTGCTCTGTGTACAATATTATGTTGTGTCCTGGTGTGTGTGTGTTCATAGAACCCTTGCTCTGTGTGCAATATTGTGTTGTGTTCTGGTGTGTGTGTTCATAGAACCCTTGCTCTGTGTACAATATTGTGTTGTGTTCTGGTGTGTGTGTTCATAGAACCCTTGCTCTGTATGCAATATTGTGTTGTGTTCTGGTGTGTGTGTTCATAGAACCCTTGCTCTGTGTACAATATTGTGTTGTGTTCTGGTGTGTGTGTTCATAGAACTCTTGCTCTGTATGCAATATTGTGTTGTGTCCTGGTGTGTGTGTGTTCATAGAACCCTTGCTCTGTGTACAATATTGTGTTGTGTTCTGGTGTGTGTGTTCATAGAACTCTTGCTCTGTGTACAATATTGTGTTGTGCTCTAGTGTGTGTGTTCATAGAACCCTTGCTCTGTGTGCAATATTGTGTTGTGTTCTGGTGTGTGTGTTCATAGAACCCTTGCTCTGTGTACAATATTGTGTTGTGTCCTGGTGTGTGTGTGTTCATAGAACCCTTGCTCTGTACAATATTGTGTTGTGTCCTGGTGTGTGTGTTCATAGAACCCTTGCTCTGTATGCAATATTGTGTTGTGTTCTGGTGTGTGTGTTCATAGAACCCTTGCTCGGTGTACAATATTGTGTTGTGTCCTGGTGTGTTGGTGTTCATAGAACCCTTGCTCTGTGTGCAATATTGTGTTGTGTTCTGGTGTGTGTGTTCATAGAACCCTTGCTCTGTGTGCAATATTGTGTTGTGTTCTGGTGTGTGTGTTCATAGAACCCTTGCTCTGTGTACAATATTGTGTTGTGTCCTGGTGTGTGTGTTCATAGAACTCTTGCTCTGTGTACAATATTGTGTTGTGTTCTGGTGTGTGTGTTCATAGAACTCTTGCTCTGTATGCAATATTGTGTTGTGTCCTGGTGTGTGTGTGTTCATAGAACCCTTGCTCTGTGTACAATATTGTGTTGTGTCCTGGTGTGTGTGTGTTCATAGAACCCTTGCTCTGTGTGCAATATTGTGTTGTGTTCTGGTGTGTGTGTTCATAGAACCCTTGCTCTGTGTACAATATTGTGTTGTGTTCTGGTGTGTGTGTTCATAGAACCCTTGCTCTGTATGCAATATTGTGTTGTGTTCTGGTGTGTGTGTTCATAGAACCCTTGCTCTGTGTACAATATTGTGTTGTGTTCTGGTGTGTGTGTTCATAGAACTCTTTCTCTGTATGCAATATTGTGTTGTGTCCTGGTGTGTGTGTGTTCATAGAACCCTTGCTCTGTGTACAATATTGTGTTGTGTTCTGGTGTGTGTGTTCATAGAACCCTTGCTCTGTGTACAATATTGTGTTGTGCTCTAGTGTGTGTGTTCATAGAACCCTTGCTCTGTGTGCAATATTGTGTTGTGTCCTGGTGTGTGTGTGTTCATAGAACCCTTGCTCTGTACAATATTGTGTTGTGTCCTGGTGTGTGTGTTCATAGAACCCTTGCTCTGTATGCAATATTGTGTTGTGTTCTGGTGTGTGTGTTCATAGAACCCTTGCTCTGTGTACAATATTGTGTTGTGTCCTGGTGTGTTGGTGTTCATAGAACCCTTGCTCTGTGTACAATATTGTGTTGTGTTCTGGTGTGTGTGTTCATAGAACCCTTGCTCTGTGTGCAATATTGTGTTGTGTTCTGGTGTGTGTGTTCATAGAACCCTTGCTCTGTGTACAATATTGTGTTGTGTCCTGGTGTGTGTGTTCATAGAACTCTTGCTCTGTGTACAATATTGTGTTGTGTTCTGGTTTGTGTGTTCATAGAACTCTTGCTCTGTATGCAATATTGTGTTGTGTCCTGGTGTGTGTGTGTTCATAGAACCCTTGCTCTGTGTACAATATTGTGTTGTGTCCTGGTGTGTGTGTTCATAGAACCCTTGCTCTGTGTGCAATATTGTGTTTTGTTCTGGTGTGTGTTCATAGAACCCTTGCTCTGTGTGCAATATTGTGTTGTGTTCTAGTGTGTGTGTTCATACAACCCTTGCTCTGTGTACAATATTGTGTTGTGCTCTGGTATGTGTGTTCATAGAACCCTTGCTCTGTGTACAATATTTCGTTATGTTCTGGTGTGTTTACAGAAGCACCCTTGCCCTGTATGCAATATTGTGTTGTGCTCTGGTGTGCTAGTTTGTTGTTTTGTGTTCTGTCGTGTGTGTTTGTAGAAGCGCTTTTGCTCGGTATGCAACATTGTGTTGTGCTCTGATGTGTGTGTGTTTGTGGAACCCTTGCTCTGTGTACAATATTGTGTTGTCCCCTGGTGTATGTGTTCATAGAACCCTTGCTCTGTGTACAATGTTGAGTTGTGTTCTGGTGCAGGTTTGTTGTGTTGTGTTCTGGGGTGTGTGTTCATAGAACCCTTGCTCTGTGTACAATGTTGTGTTGTGTTCTGTCGCAGGTTTGACCCACAGGCCGGCATGTCAACTATGGAGACTGATGGAGGGGAACAGAAGAATGTCTCAGGTAACTTGGAAGCCTGTTTGTGCATAAGAACATGTGCTCTGTCAAATAGCGAAGCATGGTGAAGCCAAGACTACTAAGCAGTTCCAAAATCAAGTCTGTGAATTAATTTCTCTCCACCGGTGACCGTTGTGCTTATCCCAGTTACCAAGAGGCTTCCTACAGGATACTGTATGACCAGTGTGTACAGGGAAGTGTTTGGTTAATTAATGATTATTGGAAGAATAATTCTAGAATATAGCTTAAACTGCCTACCACAGGTTAGAGGGTAGAATAGGTCTTCAGCAACCCATGCTTGCCGCAAAAGGCAACTATGCGTGTCGTAAAAGGCGACTAACAGGATTGGGTGGTCAGGCTCGCTGACTTTGTCGATTCATGTCATCATATCCCAATTGCATGGATCGATGCTCATGATGTCAATCACTGGATTGTCTGGTCCAGACCGCCGTCATATAGCTGGAATACTGCTGAGTGCGGCGTTTAACAACAAACAAACAAACAAACTCTATTTGATATAATTATGGGATATATTTGCATCTTGAACATTTTGAATGGCTATCTGTCCACTTTCAGATTCAGAAGAAAATATGGCCAAACTGAACATGAAGAACTTCTACATCAGGTGGGCTGTAGCTTGTCTTCCATTTGGAGAGGTCACAAGGTTCTACGTATAATTGTTTCTTGATAAATAAAATGGATTTGTATATAAGAGAGACTAGCCGGATGATAGTCTCAAATAGTATATGCTGATAATGTTGATGTTGCTGCCTCAGATCAAATGTGACATGGGAGGACCAGACCAAGGATGGCAGCATCCCCATCCAGGAGGGGGAGTTCCTCTACATCAGCGACATCCTCAAGCCGACCTTCTTCCTGGTCAGCAAGGTCGAGCCCACGTCCGGCCACCACATGAAAGGGAGGGCCTCAGGGATTGTGCCAGACTATGAACTGTAAGGTCAAGATTGTTTTGCCAGGAATTATAATACAGTAATCTACTTTTATAACAAACACGCTTATAACGAACTGATGGATATAATGTCCTGACCATTTGCTGTATATATGCTGTATAGTTGCTCATTATGAACTTTGATTATAACAAACTAAAATTAGTGGTCCCTTTTACTTGTTAACCATAGTTTTTACTGCATTCCACTTATTAGTAGTGAAATATATACAGATTTTCAAAATTACTTTGAACTAAAATCATTTCTTTTGGTACTTTTTATTATAAGTCTGGCAATGTGTCTTACAAGAAGTCATATGAGGCTGTCCATTATCATGGTATTTTTATGATATGTCTGTACATTGTAAATGGTAACGTGTTATCAGTCACCAATGTTAATAAACTGTCATCACTTATTACAAGCAATACGATGTCTATCTATGACTGTTTTGAAATGGAGACTTCATCTGCTGGCAGAGCCAAGATGTGCACACGGCGCTCCTCTCAAGGGGTGATAACTCCGGAACCTCAGGGTAATAAAGGGCTGATAGTTCGCCGGGATGCCATCAGAAGCAGAGACTGTGAGTACCACCATGCACCACGGAGTGCTGCTAGACACACCTGGACACATGCTGGGGTGCCTCACCTTGTAATGTGTTGTCAGTAGGATGGGCTGCACCTTAATCGCTATCTTGTATGTTATCATGCACTTTAAGACTTGTTTTATATTTGTGATATTTGTTTGTTTGTTTGTTTCAAATGTTATCACGGACGGGACTCAACCCAAAAAAGTCTGAGAATCTGTACTTTACTCGGAAAGTGTTATCCCAAATATAACATTTGTTACATTTGACTTCATTCTAAATGGTATTGTGATGACATTTATATTTGTGATAATGGTAGACAAATGAACTGACCTCAGGTCAGGACTGAATGATGGCAACCATTGCTGTCTCATTCAAACACATGGAATACTCTTGCCATAGTGCTTCAGTGAGTGAGTGAGTGAGTGAGTGAGTGAGTGAGTGACTGCCTGAGTGTATTTCAGTTATATATGGACCATGTCAGCTTGAAGTGAGAGGAAAGCCTAAGTGATGCAGGCGTAGACATTTGCCACTTTGATGAGGCCCACTATCACTGGCAACTACTTCAATTTAGTAACAGACATGGCCAAAAGCTCCCAAAAATGGTGTGCCTATAAAATATGAACAGATTATGTTATTACAGCTGAAAGCTAAAACAAACCCATTCCAACAAGATATCATAGCGCTAGGGCCCCAAAGTATAAAACCCCACCAGACACATTGTGTGAGACTTGAACTTACGGCGGCACTCTTCAGATACAAACGTGTGTTGAGACTGTGTTTCTGTTGCTGTTGCAGATAGCCCGTACACAGTCATTGCTCCGCTCCAAGGTAAAGCATTGTCATAGATTGAGTGTAATGTGAAGGTGCTGGATTGGAGGACAGAAATATCCAGATAATCATTATATTGTGGTAGGGCTGGGACGAGTCTAAATTTACTACCTGGGGACCCAACCCCATATTACTCAACCCTACCCAGACACCCGCTATATGACTCAAGACATGGGTGTAAAATGTCCGATTGGGAATAGTTTGACCGTAGCCCTAGTAGAAATGTATTTAGATACACATATATAAAATGATCTAGTCATGCATACACTGAAGTTGACTGAAGATTTATCTTTATTCAAACCTATAAAGGTCAGAAGGAATGGGTGCACAGTGAGAAAGAAATGCGAACATTAGGGACTTTTAGTGGAACCATATAGTTCTAGATCATTTTTGTCATTAAACAATATATCACATTACTAACCACGGGTCCGGGTAGTCCTGTGGGTACCCAGGTCCTTCTCAGTACCCATCCGCCCCGAGTACCCGAGTTACCCGTCCCAGCCAACTATTTTCGCGTTTATTAGATTACTATTGTGATAAAATGGTTGAAAGATGTTCTTCATGATAAAGCAGATGTGTTTTAACAGAATGCCAAAGTAAGCTCAGCTGTTCTAGCCATTTTCCCATCCAGTTGCTGATTGATAATAATTGTAATGATTATGATGATAAGTCAAATAAATATTGATTGTATGTAGCCAAAAATGAGGTTTATAAAGCTAAATGTGTTTTCAAATCTCAGTACATAATTTCAAAATAGACAATTGTCTTTAAGTACATTTCAAATCCAGCGTTATGACTATTGTCTTGAGGTGTTTGCTGGTCCAGTTTATGCATTCAGCTCACAGTTAAAACTGTTGTGTAATGATATAATCACACAACATCTATGCCATCAGTGTATCACACATTGTACCCCAGACGTACTGTGAAACGCTAGAAAAAGTTGATTCAACAAAGGATATGAAACTTTATGCATAATGGCAACTTTGATGAAGGGTCAAGAAGTAGCCATGAATGTGATTACAGATACTAAGGCTGTTACCATCTAACTATCATGTTTTCCTACGTGTTTTTTTAGCATTGATGAAGCTGCCAGTCCTCCTGAGCGGCCAGAGAGGCCTTGTGGACGCCATCTTGGACATCCTGGTGGCCGAGGCTGATGAGTGGGCCACAACCATCAAGAAACCAGTCACAAAGAGTAAGTCCTGCTTGTGGTACCCAGGATGCAGTGTTTGTTTCTAATGCAGAAAGTTCAGTGTTTGTTTCTCATAATAGGTGAGATGGGGCTTAACGTCGCATCCAAGATTATTACACTTACATAGCAACATGCATGCACGCGTGTGTGTATGTGGTTGCTTGTATTAATTGTTAATTTCATAAGCACATGTAATGTGTGAATTGAAATTATAATTTCATTAATAAAACGAAGTAGATGTGATAGCGGTGTCTTCATCTTCTCATGCTAAAAATAGGCCAAGTTCAAAGGTTACGATCTCGTGAAACGAGAGCGAGACCTAATTACCCATAAGCCCTTCTTCATTATGCCGAAGTGCTAAAAGAACAACTAAGAAAAGAGCTTCAATCAAACATTTATTTGGGATGTCCCAAATTAAGGTGACAAGTAACCCGAATGCGAACGCGAACTACAAAAACTGTCTCAACTAAGACAGCAACCGGACGGATAATCTTGGTCCAAGCTGGACATCTGGAATGTGGGAGTTTCAGCCAGGTCTCCTCCTAATGGCGTCCTCTGTAAAGAGATACAATTCAGTCAAAATACAAGCTCGGGAGGGAAATTCAAGGGTGGGGCTATCACATCTACTTCGTTTTATTAATGAAATTATAATTTCAATTCACACATTACATGTGCTTATGAAATTAACAATTTCACCACATAAAACTCCGTAGATGTGATAGCGGTGCTTTAAAGGTCTAGTTAAGTATTTTAAACTGGATTCCACATTCTTTAGTCTCCCTCAAGTAAAACTGCTTGAAAGTAGATGCTCTAGACCAGTTTCCCAGTTCTAAAATTTCAGTGATCGAAGCACCTTTAGTGTAAGCTTTTGATGTAGAAGCCCCCCGGACAGAGTGTGCCCTATACACTGTAACATTGATCCCTGCATCCTTCATCACATTAGTTACCCATCTAGCAACTGTAGCTGCGGATACAGGTTTGAGGGGTTTCACATAACTGAGTAATAACTTATCTCTATCCCCATCCTTTCTCCACAGGAGTGTGCGGTCAAGGTAGTCTCTGATACACTGCACTACACAGAGCAAAGGATTCTTAGGATAGGCTTGTATGGTCAACTTATGAGGTTCTGACCCAGGCTTAGAGACCTTTGTGGGCTTTGTCAAAAGAAAGACCACCTTGTCTCCCTTGTCAGATGTGAACTTTACGTTCATGGAAGTAAGTTCAGCTGCGCGACTTGCTGATGTAAGCATCAACAAAATAGCCAGTTTCTCTGTCAGATGCTTATCTGATAATTTACCATTTTCAGGCATATTACCAATATGGTCCAGGACCACGTCTACATTCCAAGTTTGGTGGTATCGAGGACATGGAGGTTTCTGATTGAAAATAGCTGTCATAAGTTTCTTGGTCAAAGGATGTTGACCAACTGGGTAGCCATGTATGTGGGGATGAAAAGCAGACAAAGCTGATCTGCTAGTGTTAACGGTTCTGTATTCAGATCCACTTTCATACATGTGGGTTAGATACTCTAGGATATGTTCCAAAGAGGCTGAAAAGGGATTGATTTGCCGTTCCACACACCAGCAAGACCACCTCTTCCAGGAGGAATTATAAGCTCCTTGCGTCCCTGGTCTCCACTGGTGTGACAAAAGCTCGGCAGTTTTTTGCGAAATGCCTCCTGAAGTGACCAGATTCCTGAAACCCTCCAGGCCGCTAATAGCAGTGTCCCGTTTGCTACCAGAGGGTGTGTTTGACCTTGTGGTGATTCCAGCAAGTCGGCCCACACTGGTAGAAGTATTGGACACTCCACTGACATCTCCAACAGGACAGGGTACCACGCCTGGCCCTGCCACACTGGAGTTATCAAGGTCAGTTCTGCCCTCTCCCTCCTTACTTTCCACAGACATCTCCCGATCATGGAGAACGGGGGAAAGGCATAACCTCTCGCCCCCTTCCATTCCAACCGAAATGCATCTATGTAAGTTGCCTGGGGATCTGGTCTCCAACTGACATACTTCTCCAGTTGATGTGATAGGCGGGATGCAAAAAGATCTATCAAGTGAGGGCCAAGTCTCTGATTGCACTGGTTGAACACCTTGCGATTCAAGAGCCATTCGCTCGAATCTGCAAAATGGCGACTCTCCCAGTCTGCAATGATGTTCTCCTTGCCCGGTAGATACTGTGCTTCCAGAGTTATCTTTCTCTGGAGACAGAAGTCCCATATTTCTTTGGCTATTGTGACTAGAACATGAGACTTTGTCCCCCCCTGACGATTCACATAAGAGACTGCTGTGCGGTTGTCTACCTGGACCAGAAGGGACATGCCTGACTGACTTTTGCAGAAACACTGAAGAGCCAGTAGAACTGCTTTCAGTTCGAGAGCATTGATATGGAATTTGCTCTCCTCCAGACTCCACCGACCTCCAGTCCGGTCTTGATTGCAAACTGCCCCCCATCCCAGATTGGAAGCATCTGTTTGTAATATCAGATCTGGGTGGATTGCTGAAATGGGTTTGCCGTTGAAGGTCGACAGATTGTCTACCCACCAGTGAATTTCTTGCACACACTTCCTGGAAAGTTTGATCCTGTGTTTGTAGCTCTGGTGTTCCAATAGTTCCCATGATGATTGCATTTGTAGGAACCGGCAGTGTCACTGGGCTGGAACAATAGCTCTCATTGGTGCTGAAAGCTTTCCCAACAAAGTGGCCAGTGTTCGAATCTTTACCACTGGTAGCTTCAGTATCCTGTGACATCTTTGAAGGATGTCTGTCACTTTCTTCTGGGGAAGTGTTAGAGTGAGACACTGAGAATCTATCTCGAAACCCAGGAAGTTGAGGTTCTGACACGGAACAAGAACTGATTTCTCTTTGTTGATAACGAAACCTAGGTTCTTCAAAAGATACAAGAGACTCTCTCGGCAACGAACTAGACTCTCTGGGCTGCGGGCAAAGAGAATCATATCGTCTAGGTATATGATCAACCGAATACCTGCTCTGCGTGCAATGCTTACCACAGGTTTCAGCAATTTGGTGAACGTCCGTGGAGCTGGCGCTAGGCCAAATGGAAGGCAGAGAAACTGAAACAATCGCCCTTTCCATTGAAAGCGGAGGAATTTCCTCTGGTGCCTGGCAATTGGGATGCTGAAGTATGCATCCTTCAGGTCCAGTTTGCACATATAATCGTTTTCCTGAATGACATCCTTCAGGAGTGAAAGGCTTTCCATCTTGAAATGATTGTATGGAATGAAAGCATTCAGTTTTTTCACATTGAGTATTGGTCTCTGACCCCCGTCTTTTTTGGGAACTACGAACATGGGACTCAAAAACTGAGATTGAGAATCCTCCAGATTCACACCCGGAAGAATCTCTTCTATCGCCCCTTTCATCATCATGTTCCCAATCTCCTTGTCCAGAACAACCTGGTTCACCTGAGAAAGAGGTAACGGTGGAGGTGGTTTTCTCTGGATAGGCTTTTGAATGAATTCGATTTGAAAGCCCTGAACGGTCTGAAGAATCCATGGGTCTAGAGTAATTTTTGCCCAATTGGTGTAGAAATGTGTTATTCTGCCCCCCAAAATATTTTCCGGGAAAGGAATGCTTTCTAATTTTAGATCTTCTATTTCTGGTAACATACTGTCTGGATGTTCTGGATTTTGAGCATTCAGATTCAAGGGACTTGAACTTATGCCGCGCTTCACGGCATCGGTATTTGTTGAAAGAGAGTGATACAAACCTATATGGTCTTGAGGATCTTCCTCTTTTGCCACCACGGTCTTTCCCTCCTCTCCTGGGATTGAAGGATGCCTGAACTCTGAATCCGCCCCCAGACGAACTGGGCTTACCTGAGGGCTCTCCATGAAAGGGCTGCTGCGAGAAAGGCTGGTTTCTAAAGAAATTAATCTTTTTCTTAGGAGCCGAATGCCGCCCACCAAGAATATCCCTGGCCTTTTGCTTATGCTTTACCTCGGCGAGTAGCGTGTTGTAAAAGGGGTCTCCGAAGAGCTTCCCTTTAGCATCAGCAAGGTACCCTCATACTTGTAAAGCAACTTTTTGGCTTTCTTTGGATCCTTAACCAGTTTGGATAAAATTGAAAGCCGCCTGTGGAAATTGATCGACAAGTTAGCTTGTCCCACAAGGCAGACTGACTTTTCTACAATGTCAAGAAGTTCATAAATGTCTAAATCAGGTGAAGCCTCCCTGCGTCTGATTTTGTCAAGATTACCCCATAAATGGGACAAAGGACCCATGACATTTAACATTCTCTTTTGAATAAACTGCAAAGAGAAATCTGTTTTTTTCTCAAATGACCTGTCCCGCGCTTCAAAAAGATCATCTAAATACCCATCCAGTTGGGGAGCAGTCAAACAATGCTCATCAGGTATGGGGTGATCATCAAGAATGTTCTCATTCAACACATTATCTTTTTTGAAGGTAGAGAACTGAGTATTGAGATGATTAGACAGATGGCTTGGCAAGGACCAAGAATCTGATTCTGCCTGTGTGATCGAAAAAGGGACATATTCATCTACTGGTTCAGCTGAACCGGCTACAGTTACAGGACCATTTTCAGAGCGGGGTTTATCAAGTTTATTGATACAAACGTTTGAAAATCGACCTCTCTTTTGTGAGGGTTCGATATAGTCGTCCGCACCCGGCCCCGAAAACGTGCCAGGCGGATGATAACTATCAACCACATCGCACTCGTCACTATCAGTCGAACTGTCACTCGAACTTGACTCGCTCGAGCTAGACCAGTCTGAGATATCATGTTCAATCCTGTGGTTAATTCTCCTTTTTCTAGGAATCCTATAACCTTTAGGTAACTGATCTAGTTTGCCTGCGCTACTGACGCCCTGCGACGTACCCCGGTTAGTAGATCTAACCTTCGGACCCACGTGGTCGTCATCATGGCTCGTACTGGCCAGATTTAACGACACTTGACTGACTGCTCCACTTTCGGGAGGTTTGTCATGATCCCCATGATATTAGATTGAGTACTACTCATATTACTTTGTATATTCACCCAAAAAAATCTCCAGCGATATACGTACGTGTTATTAGCATGAGGCCATGATGAAGAAGGGCTTATGGGTAATTAGGTCTCGCTCTCGTTTCACGAGATCGTAACCTTTGAACTTGGCCTATTTTTAGCATGAGAAGATAAAGACACCGCTATCACATCTACGGAGTTTTATGTGGTGAAATTAGTCTGGACTGATGCCGATTTATAGTACTAGCCTGCTGAGATACCATGCCGCAGTTTTAACATGAATACCCCACTCAGACCAATCCTTGTTTTAGCCCCTTAATGCTAAACGCCAGACAGGGTAACAACAAGTACCATCTTTTAAATGTCTTTTGGTATGACGTGTCCGGGAATCGAACCCCGGACCTTCCTCTCTCCAGGCGGATGCTCTACCACTAGACCACTAGAACATAATGGAACAATTTGAGAAGCCAGTTTGTTGTATCCCCTGATGGAAACGAGTTCTGTTAGCAGATCACCTCACTCACCCACACATGGCCTTTCATAATCATTCATAAAAACCTGCTTATGATTTTGTGTGATTCGTACAATGGACTATGTTTTTATTAGAGATTCTTATGATTATGGAAATGTTTTTGTCGCTTTCATTTACTATCACTTTAGTACATCATGAATTCAGTAATATTGCTGAAAGAACATATGCGAGATTGTCTCCTTAGTGATAGTCTCCTGGAACATGCTCCACCTGCCTGTTTAATGTCGTACTTTGATTCTTTCACAGATCAGCGGCAAAACTGGCGAGAGATGTGTGATCTGGTGAGTGCTGTATACTTCATTGTCTCCCAGTGGGGAAGGTCCTCATGCTTGCTTCTTGAGGGGATTCTGATTAGAATATGTCCCCAGTGTCTCATAATTGTCTCCTGAGAAGAGTAGGTCACTAGAACAGAATCCAAAGTACTAGGGCTGGGATGAGTCCAAATTTACTACCCGAGTACCCTACCTCCTATTATCCGACCCGACCTGGGTACCTGCTGTAGGTCTCAAGAGTTGGGAATAAAATGTCTGATTGGGAATTATTTTACCACAGCCCTGGCAAAAACTATTCATGTATCAAACGATCAGATCATGCATACACTAAATTCAGTGAAGCTTTATCAAACATAGACAAGTCAGAAAGAAATGCGAACATTACCGACTTGTAGTGTAACCACTGAGCTATAGTGAGTTTTTGTCATTAAACAATATATCACATGACTAACCCCGGGTCTGGGTTGTCCTGAGGGTAACCAGGTCCTACTCAGGACCCACCCGACCCAAGTTACCTTTCCAAGCCCCACAACGTACTTCATGATTGTCTTATTTGGGGATTCCAGGTCAGAATCGATTCATGCTTTTTTAATTCGCACACTAAAATGAAGGTCAGGTGATTGTAATGTGTGACATGTGACCAGCATGAAACAGCATCATAAAGGATTGATGTGTGGATTGATGGCTGTTGTAGATGTAAAGATGGTACATGTTGTACAGCAACTACACTCACCTTCAGCACCATACCCGTGCTCGTTGGTTTCACCGAAGTGGTAAACGTCTGAGACTCGCATAACTTCGGGCTTTCCTCCCACATTAAGCTGACATGCCGTGATATAACAGGAATACTGTTAAAAGGGGCGTTAATCCAAACTCACTCACTCACTCACTCACTCACTCACTCACTCACTCACTCCAGCCATATTCCTTATTTATTTATTCTGCAGCTCCGCCACACCATCATGCCCTGTTGGGGCATCAGCCATCAGTCGGACCGCGACCAGCATCGCTACATCGTCATCAACATCAAACTGATGTCCGATGACTGCCAGGAACAGCTCAGGTGGGGACATCTCTCCCGGTGTACAACTACAGTTCTTTTAGTTTATTATCTCCTTCATGTAAAAAAGATCACATAGTTATACACATTCCATTTATCTGAAGTTGACTGAAGCTTATCTTTATTTCAAACATATAAAAGTCAGAAGGAATTCGTGCATAGTCAGAAAAGTCAGAAGGAATTCGTGCATAGTCAGAAAGAAATGCAAATAGTAGCTATTTGTATAACCATGGAGTTATCATATCATATTTGTGATTAAACAATATATCACGGTACTAACCAGAGGTCCGGGTAGTCGTTTTGGTACCCAGGTCCTACTGAGTACACACCCGACCCGAGTACCTGTGTTTACCATCCCATCCCTAACAGAATTCCACTGTGATGTTTGTCAGGTTATGTTTTGGGAAGTCTTGTGTTGCCCTTGATTTCCTTCACAAATTATGATCAACAGTCTGAGATTAATTTAGACTATTAGACACTTTTAGCTGGTCAAATTGAAAGGTCATGTGAGCTTATATTATGACACGTTGCCCGTCATCTGTCTGGGGGTATTTTTTACCTCTTCTCTGGAACTACAAGGCCTATGGACTTAAAGACTTTGTATGAATGATATGAGCTATGGTGTCTCTCAAACTTGATCAGAGAAATCTGGTCTAAAATTTCCAACATGGCTGCAACAGAGACCATACATTGTCCATTTTGGCTGTTACTTCTGCATGTGTCATTATGAAATATGATGTACAGCATGTATCATATATATTTTTTGGAATAACATATATTATCTTTTGGGGCATATCAAGCTACTACCTTTCACTTTTTTGTACCGGTACCACCTTTCTTGACTGTTATTGTTATCTTGTGTTATTGTCCCAGGTTAGAATTGGTCTTCAGCAACGTATGCATGTTGTTAGAGGAAAGAGGATTGGATGGTCAGACTCCCTGACTTAGTTGATGCATGTCAAACTCATGATATCAATCACTGTAATCAACCAAGTCATCAAGACTAACCACCTGATCCTCTCAGTGGTAACTTTACAAGCATACGTTGCGGGGGACCAATGCTAACCCAGAATCCCCAGCTGTTATTGCATCTTTGACAGTTAGGCGATACAGCTGTTTATGCATCTTTGACGGTTTGGTGATACAGATGTTTTTGCATTTTTTATTGTAAGGGGATATAGATGTTGATGCATATTTGACATTTGGGTGATACAGCTGTTTATGCATCTTTGATGATTTGGTGATACAGATGTTTTTGCATTTTTTATGGTAAGGGGATATAGATGTTGCATATTTGACAGTTGGATGATACAGCTCTTTTGGGGTTCTTCAACAGTGAGGTGATACAGATGTTATTGCATATTTGATGGTATGGTGATACAGCTGTTTTTGCATGTTTGATCGTATGGTGATACAGATGTTATTGCAACTTTTACGATTAGGTGATACTGCTATAAATGCATCTTTGGTGATTTGGCTGTTATTGCATCTTGATAGTTTGGTGATACAGCTGCTATTGCATCCTCAACAATTAGCTGATTCAGCTGTTTTTTGCTTCAGGGACATATTTGGCCCGGAATTTCATGATGTGCAGTGTGACAAGGAGATGGCGCCATCCAAATGGTCACTTCATAGTGGTAATTGTTTCATGTTGTATAATGGCACCATTGTTTTATCAATCTATACACAGCAAGACATTGGTCACAAGTACAGACCATCCACATGGAGATTAAATGTAGGAAGTAAACCTTCAAGATGATTCAACTCACAATCCTTGTATTTGCAGATGTAAAGTGTTTCATAATGAATGATTAGAGTGATACTATATACCAATGAATAAACAGACTTCTGGCATTAGATACATGTGTGTGTGCCTCTGCATGTCCCTTGTTCTAGATCAAGACTTTGCTTCAAGGTTAATCCTAGCAATGCATGTATGGCCCATGTTCTGGATACTGACTTTGCTTCAAGGTTCAACCTGGAAATGCATGAATGGCCCTTGTTCCAGATCAAGACTTTGCTTCAAGGTTCATTCTTGCTTTCTGTGCTCCAGAGACAGTCATGCTGCCCTCGCCAAAGATCAGGAACCGAGGCGACCTCATGGCCCAGCTGAAAGAGAAGATCATGAATGTGCAGGACAACATCTTCTGGATGACCATTAGCTGGAAGACCATCAACGCTCTGAAGAACAGTGCTTAGGAAAACAGCTGTAGGATTTATTGTCATAAGAAGGGAAAATACGACATGAGTACCCTCGTTAAACCTCATCAGATGTTTTCAGTTGTCAGTCAGGAGAATAAAAGCTGACATCCCGTTTGCTTTGACATGTCCAAATTACTTTGGCCTGTCCTAAGTACCGGTACTGGAATTTGGTATAATCTGAAGAGTCTTACTCATAGGGAAAAATTACTGGAGGTACATGCAGGATCTGTGTGATCAGACGTTCACGAACATGAAACTTTGTAAACTACAAACACCCCAGATGAAATATATACTTGTGATAACTGTAAATTTTGCTTTCATTTTTTTATTTATGAACTATATCCAAAGAAGTACAGTTCTTTTGTTATTGTTGAAAATAATCTTTGTTTAATACAGACAGCCTATTGCTGGTATTTTATTGAAACAATGGAAACATGATCACCATATGGAAAGTAACCGTAGCAGGTAAGGCTGCTCCTCAGTTAATTGTTTTAAACGTTGCAGAACAAGATGAAGGCGTGGCTAACACGTTTATTTCCAAGACTCAGATTGTTGCATGTTTAAGTATTCATACATGTTATGTTCTTGCTTTTTATGGATGTTAGAGTACTTCAGTGCTGTTTGCGTTTCATATGAAAGTATGATATGACTGTGTATGTACAGGAATATTATTAGTTATGGTGTCTTTAATTGCCATATATACGGTGTCATATTAGGTTAGCAGAAAAATATTTTTCTGCCAACCTAATATGACACCATAAATGGCAAATAAAGACATCATAACAAATATATTATGCCGAAAAGGTTACACTCTCTGGTATCCACATTGCAAATTTTGCCTTTTGTCAGAGATTTCCTCATCGGTGCTACTAGCAAAGCATTTGACAGCCATTGCTGATGTCAAAGGGAGACCACTCTTCAAACCTTAGAGGCCAAACCTTGTGGAAAAGTTTAACTATAATCTTTATCAATAAAGTCACAAAGATGATCTAAAAAACAGATTAATGTCTTTGCATATCACAATAAAAGATTGTAAAACACAAAAGTGTCAAGTAACAAATTTCGGTACCAGCATTTCCATGTGAAATATGTGAGGTGGGTGTTGGAAAATCCAAGATGGCTGTTACTGACGGTATACGGTCTCATATTAGATCATTATCAACCATCTTGGATTTTTACTGATGGTATATGGGCTCATGTGGGGGTCAGTAGTTCTGCTCTCTGATTGGTCAATCTCACTTTGAGGCAAAATAATGTAACCGGGTCCTAGGAATGTCTTCTGCCGCACTGTCACATAGTGACTCAACTGTATTGCTGTAAAGAATGACTCCCACCCCAACCCATTTTTACAAGGCCCTGTAAAAGCCAGCTGTATAGCCCCAGACCTGCCGTATGTTAACGGGGATTACATGTACATGTCGTTGAGGCCTACAGATGACTTCCATATTGTATGAGGCCAGCACTGCTTTTTATGGCATCTTTGATGCTTGGCCACTTGTTGAAGCGTGATGACATAACCAAATGTTTGTGTATTTAGACATGTGTTATTGTACTGTTGCCTCCGAATCGACCTGTATCTATTTTTATTATTGAAGGACACTTTTCCCTATTTACTGATCATTGAATGAAAGTAGGAATTCATGGTTGAAGTTGAAAAGGCCTTTTTTCATCAAATTATTACTGTCAGAATGGTGATTGATTTTTTAGTGTTTTTCTAACCATATCAATTTCAGGTCAGTATCTAATGAAATTTGGCATGTTTTATTGTTTTGTTTTATCTAGGCTAAAAATATACTTCTAGCTGCCATATTCTGTTTCCCAGAAGGTTTTCATTCCATCCGTCTGCTTTTTTTTAGGTTTTAGACCTCAACCATTCTAAAACAATGTTTGCAAACAATAGCAGATAACCCCTGACCTTACTCTGATCGGCTCTCTGTATCCCACGAGAGAGATCACACTGCAGGTATAAACTCATTATCAGGTCAGAAAGCCCTTCTTTCCAGGGAATGCCCGTCTTGTATCTGCAACGTGATTTGCTTCACACGATCGAGGCATTTATAGTGTAATCTAGGCTTTGGTATACACTAATCCAATCAAGCTGGCAATTAGTATTTTGTAACTCATCTGAATGAAAACAAACACTTTCTCTTTAATTGGCCTCTAATGGCCGAAGCCAGTTTATTCTGCAAGGCACTTTGGCTGTCGGTGTCACTGTGCGGAGGAGCTCTATTGTTTTGGTTCCGGAATTGGATCATGCATGACCTAAAGGTGTGGCGTCACACTCTCATGCATGATTTAAAAACACCCAGAACCATCAAAATGCCAGCTAGCCCTTAAACACAGTCTCCAAATATCTGTGATATTCAATGTAAGAACTTATGATTCAGTTGGGGCAGTCGGGTAGCCGAGTGGTTAAAGTGTTCGCTCGTCACGCTGAAGGCTCGGGTTCTATTCCCAACATGGGTACAATGTGTGAAACCCATTTCTGGTGTCCCCCGCCATGATATTGTTGGAATATTGCTAAAAGCGGCGTAAAACCTCACTATGATTCACTTAATTGTTTTGTCATCGATCATTTGATCATCGAGACTGATTGTTCTCTGTTTTGTACAAACATGTACAAGCACTGTAAATAAATACTCCTTGGACTGAACCTTTCAGAAATATCTCTCCTCTAACAGATTGTATTAAATGTTGGCGTCATGTTGTGAGATAAATGGTCATAATGCCAGTACTAGGAGATATAGAGCAGTGTATGTATGAGAGCTTGATTTTGTGATACAAGATTGTGATTGTAATTTTTTGTCTCTGTTGTGTAACTGCAAGATCTGATGTACATGTGTTTATTTCATGTTGTCATATATGATCTGATCAAGGACTGTTTGATCTTCACAATATGCACATAGTATCGCATCCACCTAATGTACAGCAGGGCAGTGACCTTGTGGTTTAGTCAAGAGCTGTTATTTGTCCTTGAGAACGTACAATTAGATTTATCAGTTATTGCAATTGCAAAGTCCTATGACTGCATAGTTTCTGTACAAAGGAATCCTAGTTTACTTTGGTGAATGATATTTCAAAGGGCAAATAATCTGAACTTAGCAGCTGTGCAGATTTTAATACTTCATCACAAACGCTTGACAAATCAAACTTGAAAAAGCATAAAACAGACGCTAAAAAAACATAGGCTAAATCGCCACCCAAATGAAAAATATCCACCGCAGACACCGCAACCAAGTCTACGTATCAACCACTAAAAACATTTGTCATGCTCTTCTGCGCTGATAACTTTATACCACGCCCTGAAATAGGTTTGTTTTTTAAGACTATTATAGAGCGTGGGATTTCAGCACTTTCATTTAGACTTGTACTTTCTACAAATGTTATGAACTTTTTTCTCTTGGAATTTAACTTAATGTATCAAGGAAGTTGATATTTGCAATTATTTTTTTCAGCTTTACTTGCCCTTTAAGGTTTCATCAAATTACACAACACTGTTTTCACAAAACACTAGTTGTTAATACTGTTGTTAATATTTATTATTTCTGACAGTAGTTTATGCAGAATAGATATTTATCTGTATATGAAGGTTAAATGCTATGAAAAAGGAAGTTGTTGTTTGTTAGTATTTTGTATTTGTTGAAATTTGTTGTTGAGTTTGAAGAATCAAATAACCTGTACATGTCATCACTGCAACATTGTATAGCTTTACCCATGTCACAGTCCATCTTCCCGAGGCAAGGGAGTTAACTGACTATAAAAGTCAAGTTCCCTTGCCGAACTGTGCTGCAATTATGGAGTTACATTTTGGCTGGACTAACGAGTCTTTGCTTAGTCCAATCCGCCATTTTCTTTGAAGCAAATGCAAGTGATATGAGAGATGGAATCTGATTGGTCAATGGGTGGAACATAGAAGAGACATAACTCCTAATAGCCAATGGTGGCGCTACGATCATGCCTGGAGTTCCAATGTATTTCGGCAAGGGTGGAAACTGGACTTTCATAGTCAGTTAACACCCTTGCCTCGGGAAGATGGTCACAGTCTCACGAACATGTCATCACTGCAACATTGTATAGCTTGACCTAGGTCCCAGTCTCACGAACATGTCATCACTGCAACATTGTATAGCTTGACCTAGGTCCCAGTCTCACAAACATGTCATCACTGCAACATTGTATAGCTTTACCCAGGTCACAGTCTCACGAACATGTCATCACAGCAACATTGTATAGCTTTACCCAGGTCATTGTTTCATCCATGTCATTCTCACTTAAGCACATGATGGCACTGCAACATCACATTGTTTCGTCCATGTCATTCTCACTTAAGCACATATCAGCACTGCAACATCACATTATTTAATCCATGTCATTCTCACTTAAGCACATGTCAGCACTGCAAAATCATATTGCTTCATCCATGTCATTCTCACTTAAGCACATGTCAGCACTGCAACATCATATTGTTTCATCCATGTCATTCTTACTTAAGCACAAGTCAGCACTGCAACATCATATTGCTTCATCCGTGTCATTCTCACTAAAGCACATGCATTTACGTAATTCATTCTTTTACTCTAAGATATCCTTCTTTTCAATTTTGAGAATTCTGATTATTTGCATTATGGTGCTGTATTCTGTTATGGTATCTGTTGTTGAGTTCTTACCAAACTGGGTCTTTCATAGCTTCATATCTCTGTGGACCAGTTTTTAGTTTATGGATGGGTGCATTTTTACAAAAAATATTTTTATCATGTCTTACTTTGAATATTTGCTCATCTAGAACTTTTGAGTTACTTTTATTGGACAGACTTACAGCAAGTGAGTATGCAATTGGTTGAAAACTTTTGCTTCTTTTTGGAGGAAGAAAAATGATAGTTTGGTTGTGTTATTAAGTATTTTATTTCTCTCTTGTCAAGTTGAAAAAAATTAATTGACTTTATATGATATTGACTTAGCACCATTTCTCTAAATCAAACCCGGTGTTGTTAAGAAAACCTCAGAGCCCCAGTCTATGCAGTCATCCCACTACGGGAGGTTGATGGATTTAGGAACATCTATTTTCTTACTATTTCAGCCTATTTTCTTATTAACTGGTTTACAAGAATGTTGGCTCTACATTATGCAATTTATCTTCTGATGAATGAAAAACATCAACTTTCGACACATTCTGATGCAGAATCGAAATAATAACTACCATTTAATGTTTATATCACCAAATAAATGAATAGATTGTCCAGTCAATTATTTTTTCTATATTTTTATGGTTTTTCATTTACATCAATAAAACATAATAAGCCCACCTAAGGTAATACTATCTAAAATAAATTTTCTATAAAAAATTGACTTTTAATTATATTTGAGATATGAATAATCATATTACTTCCAGAGTATTGCTTCAATCCTGTCATTACAAACTGTCTGTTGACACCCAAACATAGGTCGCCCTAAGAGAGATACTAGGGCAATTTGGCTCTCCTAGCATTTTTATTAAGGCCTTCAAGAAATACATTTTGTTATCTGGTAAGTCAAATTTATTATGTATTTCAATTAATCACTTAATGACAACCTTAACACATCTAGACCTACACTGAACATGGGAGGCACCACCCTGGTGATCAGAGTCCCCCTTTAAAGAATCAGTGTGAAACATTAGATGTATCATAGTATGATATATTATTTTGTCTCATTGTCTTGTTTGGGTCATAATCTGGCTTCTATTGAATGTTTTGTTTGCATTTTTTTTTATAGTATTAGATTATTGAAGAGTGTCTATGCCACAAGAGCATGAGAGGTTTATCTCGCAGCAATGTTGCCACAGAGCAGGACTTCACATCTGTTTGCCCTGTGCTTCATGGGATCTTGTTCCTTGATAATTCTAATCATGCATTTGGGCAGCTGCACTATAACACAAATGAGAATCCAATTAACTCATTCGATGTAATATGCGCTCTGCTCTAATAAGCGCCCACAGCGATATTTGCTTATATATTGGCTAGTGAACAATCTCATTTAGCACCCCTTCCGATTGATCAATGTACACAAGACTTATTTATTCACGTATAATACGCACTCGTGTGCTACATGCACCCTTAATTATGGGCAATTAAATTCTGAAAAATATATGTTGTATATAAACATTTCAGGCTGTCAGCATAAACCACGAAATTTATCTTTCAACGCTGTTTTTTTCACCAAAGTAATATTCTAATAAGAGCCCCCTATTACTAATTTTGAGTGCGCCCTGAGCTCTTATTACGTCGAATACGGTATATATATTTTTGTACCTTCCTAGTTTGTGTTAATACCATCCATATGTTGTCTATCGCTTAACAGCGAGTTTATTAAACGCCTTTCTCCAAAACTAATAAACAAAGTTATTTAAGATCTATCAAAAGTCAAGGCCACTTCAAAATTACTGTTTACGTCAATAAAGTTTGTGAACAAAGCAGTGTATTCACCATTTAAATATTGGAACATCTTTATTTACAACTTTCTATTTTGAAGTTATTCTTGTGATGTTTACGAACTAAGATTGCGACATTTTTGAATGATTGACTCAGTATGACTGCCATTTATTAATATTGTTGTTTGGACCTTCTCTTATGTTTGATATCTATAAATAATTTTGTATATTAGAAATTTTCCACATTTCAGAATCTTGGGTCAGGTGAGCCTCAGTGCCTTGGTACTATCTTCATTGCTTACACTCATTCGTCACCACTCGCCCTTTTCCGTAACCTGCAAGAAGACTAGTCCCCCTATCGATGAATGTTATGTGCGAAAATACGACAACCCAATCAAAATGCGCGTATCATTTCAAGTTCTTGGTCAAAGAATCCCTCAGAAATAATTTTTGATTTTACATATGTCTTGCATCTAAAAATATAACCCAGACACAGTTAAATGTGTTCAATCATACTGTATAATTCCGCATGTCCAGATGTGCTTTAGATTGCATCTGAAATATTTATAATATATGGGGAAATATATGTGAACCATTACGCAATGAGTTGACAATTGTTTTAGGTGTGCCTGTTTGTGCTAAGACGGAACCCGGTCGCAAAAATGGCCATGAGTGGGACATGAGTCGCTGTTCGGCTTGTCCCGGAATAACACGAATTGGTCACGAATGTGCTTACACTCTGACAAGGTTGTGGTGCAGCATAGTGTCTTGTTACAAAGTTTCACCACATTTTTTAAATCCAGAATCCTGTGAGTTTCGGTTGAACATCACTATAATAAAGGTTGTTTTGAAAATATTATATTGTTTGTGATATGATTCCTCGTTAATGAGCTTCAGATCTATTTCTGATCATTGTTTATGTACACTGATTGTAATTTGTGATTTTTTGTGATTTATAACTTTATTTCAAACGTAGGATTGAGAATAACATTGGTACTACAACGAGGCAAAAATAACACTTCAAATTGAATAACTGAAGAAAACCATGCAGGGTGCCATTCTACAAATCAATCTTAGCGCTACAACTGTGACAAATCTTGTTACAGTATGGGAATTACGATTGTCTTTGTTCAGGTATGGGAAATAGGATTGTCTTTACGTTCAATCTCATTAAAATCAGATCTTGTTCTCGCTATATCACTAAACTAACACAATCTGATGAATGTAAGAAGGAGGTACAACACTACTCAAAAGAAGTCAAGGATCACTCAATTCTTTCATATTACTATTGTTAATCTGTGAAGGCATGGCATGACATGACAGATTAACCATAGTAATATGAAAGAATCAAGTGAACCTTAACTTCTTTTGAGTTGTATATTTGCTAAATATTTACAAGGGACATGTTTAACACATCACAAGGTCTTACAAAGTAAGATGGCTGGGTCATGAAGAGGACATCTGAGGTTCACAATAGTGAAGGATTCTACCTTTAGGAAGCTGCAGTAAAATCATCCTAAGTGAGTCTCGCCGTGATGTATGATTGAAGGAGTTGGGTTTGAACAGACTTCACTCAGGCCACATATTTATTATAGCGTTCCGTCTGTCCGTACTTCCGTCTGTCCTTACGTCCGAGCTTTTGTACGGCCCATAACTTTTTAACCATGCACCCTAGCTTCACCAAACTTGCTACACACATTTACCACAATGAGTACTTGTGCCTTTTGCTAGTTTGAAGATCCGCCCAGAGAGCGGAAGGTCCGGGGTTCGATCCCCGGCCGCGTCATACCAAAAGACGTTAAAAGATGGTATTTGTTGTTACCCTGTCTGGCGCTCGACATTAGGGGGCTAAAACAAGGACTGGTCGGCTCGGAGTCAGTATACTGTGTCTGAGTGGGGTATTCATGTTAAACTGCGGCATGGTATCTCAGTGAGCTAGCACTATAAATCGGCATCCGGACTAGTACAAGCAGCCACACACACACACGTGCATGCACGTCGCTATATAAGTGCACAATCTTGGACGCGACGTTAAACCCAATTTCACCTCACCTCACCTCACCTAGTTTGAAGATTCTGAACTTTTTAATTTGTGCCGTTTCCATGGAAACAATAAGAAACTTAAACTTTTAGGTTGGGTGTTTTGTACGGCCTATATCTTTTTAACCATGCACCCTAGCTTCACCAAACGTGCTACACCCATTTACCACAATGAGTACTTGTGCCTTTTGCTAGTTTGAAGATTCTGAATTTTTTAATTTTTTCCGTTTCCATGGAATTATGGTGAAACATAAATTTTGGGTAGAGCTTTTGGGTAGAGATTCTGAAAGTTTTCTCTTTTGCTGTTTTCATGGAATCATGACTTAAAGCAACAGGTATATTTAATTATTTTACAAACTATTTACTATTTGTTGTTGACCAGTGGGTTGATTGAATAAATTATGTTTGAGTTAGTCAACATCTTTTACATTTGTTTATTTGTCTTTTTTGGTGTTTTTGGCTTGAAGTTGTTTGGGATGGTTGGTTGGTTTACTGGGAAACAATACATGCTAATACTGTTTCAAGTGTTGGATGTTTAGTATAATACAGCAACACATATATGTAGCAATTTCTGATGAAACTTTCATCCCTCAACTGGAGGTTCGCCGTGTCTACCACATACAATGTTCTTCATTAATTCTTGTTTAAAAAATCAACAGTTTCTTTTAATTTTCTAGTTATCTCTTATATTTTTCCAATTCATCGAAGATAGAGCAGTCAGGGAAAATAAAAATAACTTCTGTTTGTGGTTTCTGGCTCTAGTCAGTTGAATCCAAACACCCCCACAAGAGAGTTGTGCTGAGCAGTATGGGTATAGCAACACTACATTTAGTGTATATATCTGATGTTTTCAGTCATGTGCCGGACACGTCGTGAATAGAATACCCAGGATATTCATGAGCTGTGCTCAATAGTGCATGACTATCTGTCCATTCTAGATGGGAGCATAGCAACTACATTTATGGCAAATGTAGGACAGGATCTTCTCCAAACAAACAAAAATTGTACACCTGAGTGAAATAAAATATTGGGGGGAAATGAGGTATGATGTATTTACAAAACGTTTTGTGACTGATACGCTATTTGAAGGGGGCGTGGCCTAAATGCAAATGTCCGATTGGGATTTTACATTTTCTGGACCCCTGGTTTTGTCAGTCCATAATAACTAGCTTCATCTGAATTGTAAAAACGACAATCATATTTCTTTTTCTATTATTTTATTGACATTCAAATGTATGCACAGGTTTTCAGATAACATAAATACACCACATACACAGAAAGCATAGCCTGAATATTCACAACAAATATTGCCATATATACAAGTTTGGCTTACACCTTTGTCTCACTGCATTACCCACATGGAATATTGACAGCACAGCTGTTTCCAGATGCCATTTCTAAGTCGTGTGAAACAATGGGAGATGTTCTTTGGCAAATTGAAACCGATGATGTTATGTATTTTCTTTTGACAAAATAACCAGCTCATCCTATATAACTGACATCACCACAAGTCAACTTGAGAAAATGTAATGTTTTGAGTCAACCTTTGGTAAGTTTATAATAGGATGGCCTCTGTCTGCTCACTGGCTGGATGTGGAGAGATCCATCATAGCCGGGGGGTTCATATTGATATCATTATTATTCATTATTCATAAGTAATATTATATATATCACTTTGTATAGCACGTTCGGTCTTGTCAATGTCTCGTTGTAATAAAACCATCCAATGTGATGATATGCCCTATAAGTATTGCCAGACAGTATACGGTCTGACATGTGGCTGCCTATTACACTGCTGTCTTCTTGGAGTGCCCTGGCCTTGTCTCCACTGCAGTTTGTATCACAGTACCAGCCACCATCTCCATCCACAATGTTACAGTTGCCACAGCCTTTCCTCCAACACTATGTGAGTATGGTTTTACGCCTCTGTTATTTCTGACATACCCCAGATGGGGGGAGGGGACACCAGAAATGAGCTTCACACATTGCACCACGTGGGGAATTGAACCACTGACTTGGAGGCAACAAGCAAACACTTTAACCATTTGGCTACCCTACCCCACCCCCTTCAATATCAGAAACTGGTGATACAATTTATGAACTGTTTGCTGTCGGTACACTCTGCACTCACTCACTCTTCACATATCAGAATCTGGTCTGTGATTGATTTGGGACTGATTTGCGCTGTGTGTTTTCCATCTTGATATCTCTGTCCCTGGAAATTTCTGCCTTCAGATTCTCTTGAAGGAATTCCGTTTCAGGAATCTTTTCACTCAAATGATCCTGAATTCCTGAGTCCTGAACTGCTTCCACGGGTGTGATAGTCGATATTGTAGACGCTTTGTCATTTGTCAAGTCTGAAGTGGCTGAAAGGTAAAACATGGGACATTTATGTTGTGTCTCCGTAATCCTGTGGCTCATTTATGACCAACTTGTGTTAATCCGTGACAAGCCGAATAGCTACAGAAAGAGATGAGTAGTGACGAATCAATTGTGCTCCAGAGACCAGAAACCAACATATGGTCTCTGTGTGGCCTAATCAACAACTGGCAAACCCAAAGAAATCCCAGCAACAATGTTGCAAAAAATATTGTATATAGTCACTGACATAAGTCATTATTATTTTCCTTTAACACCATTTGTAAAACTGAAGTATTAGTTCTGGGAATAAATAACTTAAAAACAAAAATTCCCAGGCAACCCCAGAATACAAATCATCAATCCATTAAAGGAATCGTAGGTTTTCAACTGTAAATATCTTAACTGTTCGAGATGAATTTTTGATGACTTGGTACTGAACCTACTTACTGTAAGAGGGTGGGTCTGGCTGGTGGGGTTGTGCTATTTGCCCTGTAGCTTGTGCTGGGGCCTGGGCCAAGGTGCGGATCTCCTCCAGTTTGTTCATATGGGCTCCAGAGTCGGACTCCTCATTTTGGACAGCTTGAATTCCTTGTTCCAATAGCGGTGTCTTCTCCCCATCCCCTACACTTGAAACAGTGGAGTAGGTCACACTCTCAGCCTTCTCAAGGTCAGACAGTTTTCCATCAATCCTCCTCACATACCATAAGACCACAACTATCAGCCCTAATGCCAATATCCCAGCTGTAAGGATGCCAAAAAACGCATATGTCAGGATTTGTGATTCTGCAACAAACGAAAAACATGGTGTAATTAGTTTGAAGCCAACAAATGAATAACTCAAAACTCATTTGTACCTATCTGTAATGTCCCCCTTTAAAACTAGAGAGGTAAACAATATACATTTTTATTATTAAAAAATACATAAGTCGTCATTTTAAAGATAAAATGATACACTATACACATATGTATATCCTTAATATTGTCAAACTATTACACAAACGGGTGAACAATTATAAATAATATCTGACCTTTATTGCATAAACATAAGCAGCTGAAGCGTGTTTTCATTAAAGGGAGATAAATCCTATGCTAGGGGGAATCCCCATGTCTATATATAGTAACATAAACTGCGTCTTCACTTTCTGTGCCCAACAATCCGACTCACACTGACCTTGTGGTTTGTCGTGGGCGGGCACAATGGCAGTCGATGTCGTAGTTGGTTCTGTAGACCCCACAGTCGTTGTTGCTGAAAAATAGGAAGCATATGAACCATCATTTCCTGACTGATACAACTTTTAAATTTGATATTCTGTTATTTGTTCAAAGAGTAATATTTATCGTATGAAAGGCCAGAACACACATTAAGTGTCTACTATACAGTACATGATGATTTTACAAGAAGATTCCCATGTCAGAACATTTCTGGTCTTGAAGGCATATTTGAAATAGAACATAACAAATTTAATATGCCAAGTGACAAAATGGTGAATACCAAATTACCGTAACATGATTAATGGAATGTCGATAATATATCGAGTTATCCGAAATTCAAGACACAAATGTCAATCATATTTAAAAATAAGTTGCTGGTTAATGTGTGAATAAGCAATTCAATAACACATCGGAACAAAAGAAACCACATATATTATAGTTTAACTATTACAGTAGTTAAACTACTTAATTTTAAGTTCATCATTGAAAGGTGCCTATGCCTGCATTGGGAACCTGTCACTCATGGTTAACGGGAAACTGGTGACAATATAACTGTTCTAATTAACACGTATATTTACCAAGTTTCCGACACAGGACTTCGCATTGGTTCAGGATGTGTTTGGCCACGTCAGCTTGGCACTGCTCGGGGGTACAGGTGTTACATCGCTCCTCCCCATCGTTACAGAACTGGTAGCTGGAGTCGCAGATGTCCCTGTGGCATCGGAATCGAAATCCCGACACTGACAGCACAAAGATGGACAACACTAGACAAGATGTCAGAAAACCCATACTGAAAATCCGCTAGTGTTAATCGCTTCCTTCCCGAAAGTACATAGAGATGATACTGTAGGGCTGTGGGATCCCGAATGGTCTTTCGGTGATGTGTACGCCAATATAATAGGCAATTCCATCTTGAAAACCCCCTTTGGAATTACCACAGCTGACGAAATAGCACATAATCTAAATATAGACACACGTGTTTGTACGCGTGGGCGTCATAAATATATTTGCACACAATAAGGAGCGGCTTGTGGCTGTTTGTTTATTGTTTATACTCTATACCTTCAGTGTCATGAGATCTATGGGTTAAAACAAAACACAAAACATGCATGTAAATATTTTCTGACATAAAATATCTTATCAACAGCTATTTTGGGGGAGACAGAAGAGCACCGTAATGGTGCTATTTATATAGCTGGAAAACCCCGTCTAAAAATAGAGATTGAGTCACTTAAGGTGTGGGGTGATTGAAAAACTCCAAACAATGCACATATCTTGGGAAGCTTAATACGGCAAAACAAATTCTTTCTATCTCAAATATTTTAGATAATAAATTGAATAGATAATCATTATTTTTTTCATATGAACAGCTGCAATTCATTCTCCGACCTGCCTCATTTGACCTATTTGACTATTGTGCTATTATCAGAACAGTAAAATACGTTTATAATACGCTTAGGACGAACTGACGGATATATTGCGAACTCAATATTTGGTATAAGTTCCATATACGCTTATAACGTACCACGGTTATAACCAACTAGAATTAGTGGTCCATTTGAGTTCCTTATAACCGTAGTTCACTGTACTTGTACTTTCGTGCTCCCACCTCATATCTATGCTCAAATATCCCTAAATGTTTTTCAGGACTTTGACAACAATTTCAGAAATGAAGAACAAAACAACACTGAAGTGTGGATTTTTAGACTAACACTTATAGTCTATGAAAACATATCATTAAAATTGTATTTTATATTTCCTATTCTGTTGTTTTCATCTGAAATCAAGGAACTAGTCTTGGTTTAGTTTCATCTAGACTTGCCTAGTCTTTTAGTAATAAATAATGTTTCACATCTATCTGTATAGCGCTGGAAATGCTCAAAACAAAAAGTTAAGCACCACCTACATTTTTTAACGATGAACACGACCAATGTGTTCCCTTACATGGGACTAAATGAAAATGCTATCTGATGACATTAAAAACTTCAATTATTGAGGACAATAAATGCTGAAAATCTGATGGATTCAAGCAAAAAGCTGCCTGTACAGAGGTGGTTTCAAATGCATACATTCTGAACAAATAACCAGATATCAATTAAGCTTTCCCATCAGTTACTCAAATGTCAATGCAACTCAAATGGCGAAGTTACGTTTTCTGCGGAGAGTGGGTGGATGGGTGACCGTGTTCAGCAGGCCTGACTTCTGAGAGTTTCAAAAGCTTTCGTCCTACCCCCCACTGAAACATGTGGTGTCTCCTTAGGCAAGTAACTTGTTTGAAGTATGCTGCTGTTCTTCTATCAATGAAAGGTAACCCGGGAGGATGAGGTGGTAATGTGACTGTCAATCTTTGGTTCCCTATACCTCCCAGGGAGCTGAGAATGAAAGTCGAGTGCACGCTGATCCATTTACCAGGGATTAATAATGTAGCGCAATGAGCATTCATTGCTGAAAAGAATCTAACGCATTTTATGTCGACTTTGGTTTATAAACGACGAAAATATTTTCGGTGATATGTTCTCCCATAACAACATGTACATCTCTGTATATGTAAAGACTCCATTCTTGTAATACATATTTGACACCGCACCAACATACAAGTAATCCCACACAGGAAAAGTATTTCCTGTTACGCAACAAATGACTGCTACGCCTTTGAATGAAGTACAAGAGAGACAACTTCGGGCTTTATACAGTGTGAAGCGCAATGCATTCATAACAATACCCTGATTTATTACATTCATATCATGTGGACCTTCACATATTACGTTGCATGAGTGAAGTATACGTGGGTCTAAAAATATATGTGCACACGTGTAACTATCGCTATAAATAACACTGACTCGTGTTTTATTTATAGATCCACAACGCTCACAACCGACTGTGCGTGTATCCTGGACAGGGTGGCTCGTAGACTTGTAAAAGTCACTGAGGAAATAATTATTAATTTCAATAATAATTTCTAGATTATAGAAATAATCAGACTGACGCCCTTAGTCTGCTTATCTAGAATTACCTATTATAAGGATTACTACACTTTCGTGGAGTTCTTTCAGTACGTCACGTCATATTGTGTCCTCAAAGCTGTTGACATCACAGAGCGATTACGTCAACAATCACTTGACGTCATAGACAAGTCTGACTGTCGGCACCAGACCCTCTATTCCCTGCTTGAAATACAGTTTAGAGTCGCATCTGAACAAAACCTACAAGCTACAAACTAGCATGAGCGTGTATCCAAGGGTTGATCATGCGTCTGTCGGTACTGAATCACGAATGTGCGTGCGCTTGCATCATTTTTTTTGTTTTTTTGTTTGTTGTTTAACGCCGCACTCAGCAAAATTACAGCTATATGACGGCGATCTGTAATTAATCGAGTCTGGGCCAGACAATACAGTGATTAACGCACATCAATGTACATCATAGAGGTAGTGACATGTATTGCAGGAACTGGTGTACACATTTAAATCCAAGTTTGCCGATATCCTTTTCTTAGAATTTGACAGTAAGGGAATATATAGCGATCTGTTGTAGAGCATCCCTATCTAGCGTAGGTACCATGCACGTGCGAAAGAGTGACAATTTCCAAACAATTCTTGGATTTGAAAATGCAACAGGTAGACACCTACGTAGGCCCAGCATGATTACATTGGTGCAAGGTAATAGTGAGTATTTAATGTAAGGAGGATACAGCTTTCAGTGTCCTCCCGGAGATTCATCGTGGTTGTTAGGGTTGACTTATGTTATGAGCCGTGCCGGTACTTCAAACACATTGCAAGCAGGGTGGAAAGACACCTTTTAATTAAAAAATTATATCCTAACCGCTTCAATGACGAGAATGCTGACGAGCGACGCCAACATCAGATACAGACGGATTGGGAAACGGAACGGTGTGGTTGCTCAGCAGTAACAGGTGACGCCGACAATGGAGCTACGTCACGGCCTATTGTGTCCCCAAAGCTGTTGACATCACAGAACGATTACGTCAACACTCACTTGACGTCATCATCAAATCAGGCTGTCAGCACGGAACACGGCAGGCGGGCTTGTTGCTGCCGTCAGACACGCCTGGTTTACACAGGCCAATACTGACGAGATATGGACTCGAGTTCGACTCAGGTAAACCAGACCCTCTATTCCCTGCTTGAAATACAGTTTAGAGTCGCATCTGAACAAGACCTACACGCTACAAACCAGCATGAGCGTGTATCCAGGGGGTGAAGAGATAGGACCTCACACACAGTAGTGACTCAGCATAACACCACTGCCACGGGCTAATTTGCATATCTCCTTTTCGTAAACAAACGTGCTTATTCTAAAATCAGAACAGATTCCTCTAATGCAAGTACCCGTGGGCGCTTTATGTATTGTTTTGCATAATGATATAGATATGCTACTGCAAGTGAGGTACAAAACAATATACATTTATACATAAATAAATTTATGGTCTCTGTTCAAAGCTCTTCGATGACAGCACGTGGAGCTGTACAACCAAAATATACAAAGGATAACTACGCAAATTGAAGTAGTATTTCACGATTTATGATATTTTTTAATGAAAGTTACATTCTATTACATATGTCAAAAATAAATCAGATGAAAAACATATGCAATATCTTGAATAGACTGTAACATGTGACGAATCGTCACCTGGCGCTACCCTGTGACAGAGGTACTATATGCTGGCCCAATGGAACTCTGGGTTGGAGAGTGACGGCAACGACGTAGGCTCAAGATCCCCACATTGGTGCATGGTAATAATTCAATTCTAAAGTGTATTATTTTCACATCATACAAATGGGTGACGTTGGGTTGAGCTCGGAATACAGCTTCCTACGTGAAGTGATTCCATGAGAATTGTTAACACAATTACCACCTACTTTTTGTGAATCTAACCGAGCATTCAAGAAAATTTATTGTGTTCATAAACACGTACTCTGTGGGTGTTTGTAAAATTTGGTATTTCAAGACAGGCACAGCTGATTTTGTCTGTTGGGTCGAGGTTTCATTCAATAATACACTGAATATCCTGTGACTATTCTCAAATATAGTTATAGGTCCAAACAAAATGTATCTTTGAAGCACGCTGTTAGCGTTATTTTATATTATAGAAAAACATTTTACAATCACATGATACGATTGGGGCTATATGTTGGTGTTTCACATGTCAAGATGTTACTATTTCAAACAGGTTTTGCTTATGTTTCGAATGCTCAAGGTTGTCGAAATACTAAGGGTTTTATAACTGTAAACATAGATTTGTAGATATATTTGTAGAGATTTTGTATATATAGAGATATATGTTTAAAAACAACACAAGCTCCGATTTCCTGTAACATTATAATTCATACAAGTCGTGCCAAGCGCCAGAAATGTTTTTATCACTTCAAGGCCCACTTGCACAAAGCGATCTTAACAACATTTTGTCGTTGTATGTTCTTAGTATACATCCATTCCACAATATGACCATGAAGATCCTTCTCGCCAGAAATTAATTTCACTAATGTCCCCCACAACACATTCAACAATCAAAGGTATTGCTTTGTGTATGAGTGAGTGAGTGAGTGAGTGAGTGAGTGAGTATGGGTTTACGCCGCTTTTAGCAATATTCCAGAAATATCACGGCGGGGGGACACCAGAAATGGGCTTCACACAGTGTACCCATGTCGGGAATCGAACCCGGGTCTTCGGCGTGACGAGCGAACGCTTTAACCACCAGGCTACCCGACCGTATATGAAGAGCAATTTATGTAAATTACATCACACATCTTGAATAACTGTTCATCAGTAGTGTAAGATGCATACATCAAGTAGGTATAAATGTGTTGTAATCTGGGTCACGGGGCCTTCAATACTGTAATGAGGAATCTTGAATCTTGTTAACGTTATGGATAATATAAAGTTTGATTATTTTGGAAAAAAAACAGAAGAAATTAATCTCTCCCTAACTATATATACATTTGTATACTGGCTAGGAACAATTATGGCCAATTCCCCGTTATAGTGCGCACGTGATCGCATCTCGTTTTACTATTGCTCGTTTTCATTATAAGAGAGAAATATTTATCCAAAAATGGTCGACAAAAATGAATCTTGTGAGGAAATATTTAAAACACACCATATAACCACCTTGCTCAAATACAACTTTAAGAAAGACACGTAGGCGTAAACAAAAATCCAACAAAACGATGATGCACATTCAGTTCTGCCATTGCTTGCTAGCTATATGTCTGTCATTTCTTCGCCGAATACAATTTTTAAACCTGATTGAGCTAGTTTTCCAAAAATGCATAACCCTTTATATCTCGCGAAATCCATAGTACATGGATTAGTGTTTACTGTTAAAAGGACAGTCCGTGGACTGTTCTGTGTGTTTATAAATCAAACATGAAATAATATCCGAGTGTGACGTCACATACCCGATTCAATGTCTCGAACCAAAACAGAACTCCGCACATTGAAGCCGACAAAGCAAGCGCTGCGCAGAGTAATCTGGCTTCAGCGTTGTTTTTAATATAGGGACATTGAAGAGAAAGCTCGTGTGTTTTTCTTACGGCCTGACTAGATTAAAAGCCAGTGTTTATAAAAGCCTCACGAATTACATGTATGTATGTGTGCAGTGTGTGCAGTGTGTGCAGTGTGTGTGTGAGTGTGTGTGTGTGTGCGTGCGTGCGTGCGTGCATGCAGTGTGTGTATGTGTGTGTGTGTGTGTGTGTTTGCGCGCGCGCGCAGGCACGCCTCGGCCGTATCAAGCTAATCGCTCTCCTACCCAGAGATCCTTACGGCCAGCGGAGTATAAGTCTGTTACATCGTCACTAAAAAAGTACTGACGGAAATGAAAAAACCCTGTTTTTCTCAATTTAAAAATCGACACAAAGTGTTACGTAGCTGTAAATACGAAATAACAAAACAACTCGAAAAGTACTAGTCTGGATTTGCTAGTTTGATCTCAGTGAACAATACAAAATGTACTTTACAGGAGGTAATTTGTCGACACTTTCAACATTCAAAAATAAAACTAAGTCAAAATTGACATAGCAGAAACAGACTATAGGCATTATACACCTGTTTTCACCTGTCGTCAAGGTGTCATAGGTCACCTTGATCTACTTACACCTGGTTATGCCCTGTTTCACAATAGTCTGTTTTATTCACATTTTTACACACTTTTACGTGTAAAAAGGCATAAAAACATTTGATACGCTGTATTTGTGCCACGGACCAATTAGTACTAATTTAGTTGTTTGAATTTTTACATATTTTGTATATTAACTGCATTTATTTAAGATCTGAGGTCGAAAAAACAGGTTTTTTTTCATTTCCGTGAGTATACCTAGTTACACGTACAGTCCATTCATGTGTTTTTCATCTGTTTCATATTGGACGAGTCACACAAACATGACATAAACGTACGTCATGACATGTTTAACTTTCATAGAGAAAATACCCCAAAACGTGAAAAGCTATTTCCATTTACGTATTTATCCTTCACGTCTTATCATCGAAGTCCTACAGAGAGCCAACGATATGGTCTCTTTGATGTGTAAAGCTACATTGTCATGCACTTCACTGTCGCAGTTGTGGTTGTATATCTATATAATTATGCAAAACAATGTGTAAATTTTAAGCGTATCGAAAGGCTTGCATTAGGCCCGTTTGTTCTTATTTCAGAATACGTGCGTTTCTTTACAAACGAGAAAAGTCCGGTCACGTGATCAGCCTACACCCGCGGTGCCCATTCGTCACCACTCGCATGTTTCCGTAACCTACAACAACATTCGGCGGTGCCGTCACCGAAGCAGAAACGGGAAAAGGCTAGCATAGTGGAGTAAGCTCGGGAGTTATCGGCTAATGTTTACACGTCCTGCCCCTTTTAGCATAAGCATGTGTAAATCAAATTTAGGGAATATTTGATTACCTACAGACGACAAATACATAAAAGCATTTCTTTTATTGTAATTGTAATGAATATAAAATTTAGTGTGATACCAGAGAAAATAGAAACTGTAAATTGAATTGTTTGATAGGCATCACTTAGTATCGTAATTTGTATAATTGAAGCAGTGCGCACGTGCTGTTTACCCGTTGGCGATAACTGGTACAGTTGGTCGACGGGAACTTCTTTTTCCACGGTTTTGATTCCTTATCGTCGCGTTATAACAAAAATCTACTGAAATTTTTTTTCCATCTACAGAAATACGCGTATTTGCTCTTAGCTTCACAGAATATATGCCTCGTTCACATGCACAACATTTACTAACGCAAGCAATTCTACACATGTGTAACTATACATATGTAAATTTACAATGTGTTCACATGAAAATCAACTTATAGGTGTGTAAATAAAGTATGTAAATTGTGTAAGGCACACATATTCGTCAGTCTGTTAACGACTTTCCACACAAAACAGGTTGCTTTCCAATCATAGTTGAATGAGAAGAGAGTTACTTCATCAAGAGCAACATGTGTTTTGACTCCTTGAAACCAAAAGAAAACACCGTCCGCTCAACTCATATACCCTGGACGATACGCATAAAAGTGTTGACAATTTGTTTGGTGTTGGCAAAACAACAGATATTATTAAGATCATCCTCTTACGTTAACACAGATCTCCATATACCGATATATGGTCTCAGGTTAGCATGAACGTTCACATTGCAACATATAAACACAGTGCAAATTTACATTTACATAAACATTTGCACCTGTTCCAGACATGATGCAAATTAATTTGCTCCTGGTGATAAATCTACACACATGAGTAAACGCGTTCATATGACAAGTATACTCATGTATGTATTTCTACATGATTTATTTCACGTATTTCACGTATGCACATATACCAACATATGTATAGTGGCGCATGTAAACGGAGTATAAGTAACTGGCACAGTCAACTTAGTATACGCGGAATATTTCAGAAACATGAACAAATGGCGATAACTGGTCGGCGACATTCGTGGGCCAATAAAATATTATTTTATTCTATTCGTGTACAGCTACGAAATCCTAGCTTTGCATGTACATTCGCCCATAGGTTACAACTATTTTACATTTAAAGTATTTGCCAGAAAGTATTTAAAGGGTTAAAGGATAGTTTTGAAGTAATAAACACGTTCTGATTGTCGTTTCCGTATTGACAGGACCCACGTGGTCTAAGCAGCGCCATCTGTTGATTGTTTACTGTTGGCAAGATCAAAATGGAAGGCGTACTTTGATTGGTCTTCATTTGAATGGTACACATGAAACGGCGATTGTTATTGGTCGATTCGAACCTACCGCTCGTGAATTTGCGAAATATTGCGAGGAACGTGGAAAGGCCTTTAGCTAGGAAGACAACCCTATAAAGGTAATTGTATCTAAAATAATAATATGTACTCCATGTTAATGATTAAGACTAATAACCACCCAACGTTTCTTTAGGGTTAAGCACTAGTTGTATATATTTTTTTACACAAACATTTTGAGTTTAGATGAATATCGTGACCAACTATTTTCAAAAGTGCAGACACACAACGGCGGTAAATACAATTTTGTTGACGACATGGATGTACTTGTTTTTCTTCAGCTTCCGTTTATTTGGCCAATTTATTCCTGTCCGGCCCTTAAAAGAATAACCAATATAGTTGTACCTGTCTGCAGCGATGATGTCGATGGCTTTTGAACAGCCAATTAACATGTAATTCATGTTTGAACATGTCCGATTATTTCAGATACAACGTTAGCCTTACCAATGGCTGTGATTTCATTTGGTGCATTATGTGGGCGAATAGGCCTGGGATAACGAGATTTCAGAATAATATACTTCAAACCTTTTAACACCGCAATTTGTGTCTATTTAGATTCTAGAACGTATTGAGTGGTATTAGCAGAATTAGAATCTGTGACCAGCTGGTGATAATAGATTGAATGGCCGATGAAAGTCTTTTTATGTTTTCAGTTTGTGCAACGTTTTGGTACGGAAAATTCAGTATCTCTCTTTTATTTGTTGAGCTACAATATTAAGTCAGTCATGGGGGTGTCATCCTGGACTTTGGATGGGAAAATATTGTGCAAATAATGCCAAATTTGACTGTGTGAAATTGAAACGATACCTACAATATTTTACAAACACATTTTGAGTGGACAAATTAAAATCAAATCAATTCTTTCTTCCTTAGACTATACACAAATACACAGTAAGCTTGGTATGTTAAGGCATGATATGTTTCTTTCTGTGTCAATACATTGTGCCCAGAGCTGCAGATCAGCGGCGTATTTGCGTAAAGTACCCCCCCAAAATATTCGAAACCAAAGTACTTTCAATTTACTTGAAACACATACATTAAATGAAAAACTCAAATGTAGAAAAAAAGCTCATGTAAATACCCAATAAAGCTTTTAAGTATGCATACAAAGGAGCTAATTTTCGAAACACAATTACGAGCTAATTTACTTTCTGAGTCAAACATATATATCTAGAACAGTTATATACATCTAAAACATTACTTCCTTTTTTTCAAATCTTAAAATGTTCACTAGTTTGGGGAAAAATCCAATAAAGTGATGAATAGATGAATGGAAAAATATTGGTAACTTAATAACCCAATTAAAATAGTAACCTGAGAGTAAAAACTAAATTGCTAAACACGTTTTCTGGAGCTCTAATACACTCCCCCAAAATATTTTGTGATACTCACTTGATGACCTCCCCCCCAGTTCATAACTGAAAATAGATACTACGGAAATGTGTCTACAGCTTGCTTTTTCTTTTGAAACTGCTCTGAAATAGTTTTGGTCAAGACATTTGCACGCAATTTGACATAAATATACGTATCAAGGCCTGGAACTTCATCATTGGACATGTGCCTTGAGCTGGAGTCACATGTCGTCTGTGATGACTGGTGAAAAATATTCTTTTTTCTTTCAGAAACAATTATTTGAAGTAAGCCTGTGATATCAACACTTTGAGTTATGGAGGACTACAACAAGATCGAGAAAATCGGAGAAGGTAATGTGTCTGTCACTGTACATGCTGGGTGTGTGAATTTACTGTCGGAAAATATGAATCAAACGACTATGAAAATTGCATCTATTAAATAATGCAGGTCTACAAAAGTGCCAACTAATCTTGCTGATGCTGATAAGGCCTACAGTAGGTACAGTGGAGAAAAACCCTTGATATCACAACCTGGTATTGATATGAAGTCATCTACTGTTTGTGATAGTTATTTTGAATACAGTTGCTGATGTAACTGGAAGTCATCCAATCCCTGCACACATTACAGCAGGTCTTTACAGAAGCCGGTTGCTCTCATCTCTCCCTCCTGTACCCACAAAAACATTTTGTTTGTTTCAGGTACATATGGTGTCGTGTACAAGGGCCGCCATAAGAAGACCAATCGCCTGGTGGCTCTCAAGAAGATCCGTCTCGAAAGTGAAGAGGAAGGTGTACCCTCCACAGCCATCAGGGAAATCTCCCTACTGAAAGAACTCACACACCCCAACATTGTCTGGTGAGTCGTGGCCTCGACTCATGTCAATTTATTGTGGGAGACATCAGCAATGTATTCCTTTGCCTTGAGAGGATCACTTTGTGAGGAATCGGGAATAGAAGAGGCCTCCAGTGTTTGGTGCATATCATGAACAGAGGCAGCTGGAAAACCATGTTGAAGTTGTTTGCTCAACACACCGACAATCTCATTAAAATCAGATCTAAGTTCTCGCTGCCGCTAAACAAAGATCTGAGGACATCCCATTACGGGTCACGTCAGGACGACCTTTCGCGAACTTTGACCGACGACTGAAATGACAAACAAGAAGTCGACATCAGCCAATTAGAAAGCAGTTTCTTGAGCTTTACGGCACTCTTTTCAACCTGGCGAATTCCATTTCTGTCTACGCTTGAAAAATATATTGACACAGTTCTCGATTAGTATTTTGAAAACTGAACAAACGAACATTCTGGAATGTCTAATATATGGTTGAAGGTGTATGGCAGTGGTTCCTACATACTGTAACAGTCGTTCGGAACACCCGGTGTTAACGTTTCCGGGGTTGCATGATTAGAAAATACATTCCGAATTGGTAAGCGACGCTTTGATTGGTCGGATGAAAGGTCGTTCGACGTGACCCGAAATGGGATGTCCTCGGATCTTCGTTTAGCGATAGTGAGAACTAAGATTTGATTTTAATGAGATTTCCAACATGAGCCTGTTTCTGATAGAGCTGAAATTGCCGACCATGATGTAAAATGACATTCACTTATAAGGGTTACAATATGTCTTACTTAAAAAAATACTCCATTTGAAACTTTCATTTGTTTGTTCATGATATAAATTTTAGGGCAATCCTGCCTCAAAGTCTGACTGTTAAATTCCAAAGAGAACCCCAAACCCTTCCCATATTTCTGGTGTCCTTTTGGGAAGTATGTGTTGTGCACACAGGTTTTTTTTACCTTATTCCTCCATAAACCCATGATAAACACAAAAACTTCAGTTCTTATAAATATGTCAACAATAATAAGCATGTCAAATTAGCTAAAGCAATATAAAAGAATTGGGTGCCCTTACTACCCTTGAGTAGTATTTAACAGAATTCACCCTAATTTTGATTAGAGGGCTAAGTAGCGATAATTTTGGTGGCCAAATGCGATTTTAGATCTGTGATTGGGGACCTAAATTTATCTACTGCTCGACGCTTGGTTACCAAAATGTAAACAAAACTAGTCATGCTCGTGACAACATCTGTTTTAGAAATAAACAGACAGTAATTGCAAATCATGTTTACTAAGTCATGTTTGCCTGGACAATATCATGATGTTTATTTATTTACAGTTAATACAATTACAGGGGTTACATTAATAGCTAGGGTGTAGTGTAACCCTGTTGCATTTGCATGAACATAAGTAATATTGTACCCAAAGGAAATTTTTTATTCTTATTTAATGTACCTGTCTATTACAATTTAATACCCATCTTCACAAAATGAAGCCCCTGCAAACATGTCCTATCTCAAATGAAACCTGTGGAAATTTTTGTCTTATCTCAGGTTCTCAATCTTGCTCCTTGGCATAAGGGTTGGCTCCTAAAATATTCATGTTGAGCCGCTTGGCCCCTTACAAAAAATGAACTTAATGGTTTCGCCAAGTGTTAAACGTCAAGCATCTGCATCACATGAGGCTTTCCTCCCACATTAAGCTGACACGATATCATTACCCTGAGATCAGTTGCGGTACTCCCAATTCACCCACTTGGTATCACTGGTATCTGATATATATGTACGTGTGTTGTAGCCTGTGTCCTGAGTGTAGGTCAACTCTGTTGTAGCCTGTGTCCTGAGTGTAGGTCAACTCTGTGTTGTAGCCTGTCCTGAGTGTAGGTCAACTCTGTGTTGTAGCCTGTGTCCTGAGTGTAGGTCAACTCTGTGTTGTAGCCTGTGTCCTGAGTGTAGGTCAACTCTGTGTTGTAGCCTGGAAGATGTGCTGATGCAGGAGAACAAGCTGTACCTGGTGTTTGAGTTCCTCTCCATGGACCTGAAGCGGTACATGGACACCATACCCAGTGGCCAGTACATGGACAAGATGCTTGTCAAGGTCAGCTGAGGTTCTCAGAACTAGGTTCTAATACAGACTGAGAAAAGTGTGATTGTAACACTAATGACAGTTTCCATACTAATAGAAGAGTCGCAGTGCAAAGTGTAATTTTGACATATGTATTTTCTGAAAAAATATGTACTTTATTTACTTCGACATTTATCAGACTTGAAAACTACTTCATGGATTCTTTTCCAATTGGGGGTACAGTTTCTATACCAAAAGGATAGGTGCAGTACAAAGTTTGTGTTCAATATTTAGATTTTATGAAAAAGTACAGCTATTTTTCATTTTTTATACTGAAACATTTGTGCAACCTATAACTTAAAAACTACCAATAGGAGACACTGATGAAGATCCGGGGTAGAATGTGTCTTCAGCAGCCAATGCTTGCCATAAAAGGCGACTATGCTTGATGTAAGAGGCGACCAACGGGATCGGGTGTCAGGCTTGCTGACTTGGTTGCATGGATCGATGCTCATGATATTAATCATTGGATTGTCTGGTCAAGACTCGATTATTTACAGACTGCCGTCATATAGCTGGAATATTGCTGAGCGCGGTGTTAAACAGCAAACCAACTAATAGGAGAGGTGCTGTGCAAAGTTACATTTCAATAAGTTGATTTCCTGAGAAAGTATTGTTTTTATCATGTATTGAACTTATAAATATGTTGGAGTCTAAGCTGGGGGTATTAGTGAGCCATGCTCACTTTTTGTCTTTTTTACCATGCTTACTGTTGGTGTGGCTCCATTCCTAATGGGTAATGGGGACACGGGTGGCCCAGTCGTTTAAGGCGTAGCAATTCGCTGTGCAGAGTTGCGTCCCTTGGGCACGCCAGAAACCTATGATTGTGGGTTCGAATCCCGGTTCGCCCTGGTTATGTTTCTAGGTTTGTCAGCACCATACCCGTGCTCGTAGGTTTCACCGAAGTGGTAATCGTCTGAGACCTGCATCACTTCGGGCTTTCCTCCCACATTAAGCTGACACGCCGTGATATAACTGGAATAGTGTTAAAAGCTGCGTTAAACCCAACTCACTCACTCATTCACTCACTCACCTAATGGGTAATGTAGACATTATAGTGATGGTATCATTTAAGGTTTGCGCCGCACACCTTGCGTCAGGTAGGACTGTCACTTATAACATTTCAAAGGGAGAAACGATCACCTGTTCACATTCCGATTCCCTTTGTGTTTTGTATGCATCACTAAAACCTGCTGTTCTCCTCCTCCCAACAGAGCTACACATACCAGATCCTCCAGGGCATCCTGTTCTGCCACCAGCGGAGAGTGCTCCACAGGGATCTCAAACCACAGAACCTGCTCATTGACAGTAAAGGAACCATCAAACTAGCTGACTTTGGTCTCGCCAGGGCCTTTGGCATTCCAGTTAGAGTGTACACACATGAGGTGAGTCACAGTCTCTGGGATGTAATTGGAGAATACACATTGTCTGTCCTGAGTGGGAATGGTGTGAGTCGGCCAGTCAGATGTAATCAGCTTGTGATGGCATGAAACATGGTTGAAGCCATGATGTATTTATTGTTCTCAACAGTGGTTGTTGTAATATTGTATTGAATTCTCAACAATGAAGCATTGGGACATCACATCATATCACGTCAACTGACGAATCATTGTGAATACACAATGCCATCAGGAAGGGACTCAACCTCAAAAGTATGACCATTTGTACTTTACTGAGGAAGTGTTATCCCAATATAACATTTGTTACAACTGCAAACCTAGCTGCCCCTATTGGTAATATTTACCTCTTGTCTACTGGTCCCGCAATAAATCAGTTGAACTCTTAAAGGAAATGTGTGGGATACGTTTGTATTCTCAGTCTCATGTTCTGACTGGTTCTTGCCGTAAAAGGCGACTAACGGGATCAGGTGGTCAGGTACGGTGACTTGGTTGATGATGTCATCGATCCCAATTGATGAAATGATGCTCATGATATCAATCACTGGATTGTCTGGTCCAGACTTGTTTATTTACAGACTGACGTCATATAAGGGGAATATTGCTGAGTGCAGCGTTAAACAACAAACAAACAAACAAATCTCACTGGTTCATCTAGTGATTGTCATAGCAGCTCAGCTTTTGGTTCATTGGTTAAAATTGAACAGAACATTGCCAGTATTTCAGGCCTTTTAGAACAACTATCAACTATTACTTTCAGAATGTCTGAGTAGGTTTCAAATGGATGTTGTGTTCACTTGTATGATGTTGTTCATTAGGTTGTGACGTTGTGGTACCGTGCGCCGGAGATTCTCCTGGGCTCCCCACGCTACTCAACGCCTGTTGATGTCTGGAGTATAGGATGCATATTTGCTGAAATGGTAACAAAAAGGCCATTGTTCCACGGAGATTCAGAAATTGATCAGCTTTTCAGGATATTCAGGTAAATAATACAAGCCAGTTATGTGGGAGATATCATGAACTTACCGAGTGAAATCTGGTTGGAAGTTACACAAAGTCACATCATCTATTCTATCATCTATCTACTTGTGCTTTGTCTTATTTTTTGAGAACTTGCCACCATAATGAATGTTTTTTTAGCTCACCTAACTGAATAAGAACGCATGTCATGGTCTGTTTGTCTGTCATCGGTCGTGTCGTCCATTGTAAACATTGTCCCAAGAAAGCACTGGACCAATCCAATGGAATTTCACATACTTGTTTCCACAAATTATGACCCTCCAAGAGTGCATGGCAGGCTTATTTTTAAATCTATTTATGGCCATTACTAGGGTATTTTTGTACACAATGTCATGACATTTTGTACTTGTGTAGCTCAATGTTCCGTTTTCGTGTGATATTGAGATTTTGACCTTGATCCAATTGACCTTTGTACTTCAAACATACTGAAAGCTGAAACTTTTCATAGCTGAAATTTAGCATATGTGTAATTGGTTGTGGGGATTAACACATTTCTTGCTTTTTTCGTGATATTTAAGTTAATTTTTTTACCTTTATTTGACTTTTGCACTTTGACAATGCTGCACTTCCTTGCACTGTAAACATTTCATGAGAACTAACCGAACCAGTGAAGATGAAACTCAACATGATTGTTCCCGGTATTTATGAAAGCTTGTCGTTTATTTCTTAAATACACAACTAACAGACTTATAACATATTTGATGGCTTTTTAAAATTAACCTGTATTCACTTTTTGCAAGACCAATACATAAGAACAGGTTTGTACATGCTTTGTTTTATATCATTGTATGAAATGCAGTGTCAAAATACCTCTGAGTTTGAGAAAATATGAACTTTTTAAAAATCCCAAATTGAACAAAATAACTTTCTTTTCCCAGTTTGCCTGCCATGGACACTAAAATAGAAACCTCGATAAATCCCTGTCGTCATCATGTTCATGTATGAATTTGTTGAGCTAACATGTGTTGTATCTCTATCAGGACGCTGACAACACCGACAGAGGACACATGGCCAGGAGTGAGTAACTTGCCAGATTACAAGCCCACATTCCCTGCCTGGAAGTCCAACCAGCTTGCCGGCTCCGTCAAACAACTCGACAACATGGGACTAGATCTCCTCCAGGTAGGGTAGCCACACACAGCATTAGGGCATGAAGGAATGTAGAAACACTGGATAACATAGCTGGGGACTCGTAGAATTCATTATTAGCTCAAGTAACTTCAAAGTCAAGTGAGCTAATGGTATAGTGTGTTCACTTTCTTGCATATTTCATCTCAGGGTTCGATGTTGCTATATCCGAGCTGCACCAGAGCAGGTAAAACATTGCCAGTGCAGGTAACTTTCATTGTCAGGCTGCACCCAGTGCAGGTAACATTTTCCACCACAAGTGCATGGCAGCAGTTTGTATAACTTTCCTTTGAATAAGGTTAAAATGAATTACCGGAAGTAAAAAACATAACAAGTCACTTCTCATGTCCATAAATCAGTTATGTAGACCACACGCTGTGTACACAATCCATTGATGTTTTATGTAACATCAGAGAGGTCATTGTTGTATGTCACCAGTAAAAGCTTTGGTAATTTGGATTTGTGCTCATAATCGTGTTACGTTTGGAATTCACAGGTCTGAATGCCAATACTAATTCTTCACAATTACCACTTGGAACATACATTCATGAGGTTACAATCACAACAAACAGTCACTGTGTTTTATTCAAATTTCCGCAAACTATACTCAACAAAAAAAAGTTAAGGACCACTTATATTTTCTTCCCAAAGTAATGGCATAAAAAAAGAAATTACATTAAGTAATACGTTACCACTGTTTTTCCGAGGCTGTTGTCTCCAACAACTGCTGCTATAGCGAAATCTACCACAGAGATCTCAATTACTTCATGCAGCACGTGCGTAGCCACCTAGCTGCCATGTGACACCCTTCACCCTTGTCTCCTTCGCTTGCGTTAGCAAGACGTGTATCCAAGACTGCTGAAGCGTTCCTCGAATATTCGGTGATATTTATTATAGTTTATTCTCTAATAAACTGTGCTTTTATGGGGCGTTGCGGTAGCTACGCTTGGATATAATTTTTCCGCCAAATGGAGAATTTTTCCCGCCCTTTTTTCTATATACTTGCGGGGTTCGCGTATGCACGTTGTGTTTTACGTTTCCCCTGTTGTATGTTTTGGGGGTTAACATCACTTATTTCTCTTTATGTTATATGTGTATGTTATATGTTCACATTGCTCGTCTATTTTCTTGTAAAAATGTTTGTGAATCATTGTGGTGCGTGCGTTGTAACCATGTTTTGCACTTTGTTCATAGAATCAAAAATGTCTGACATGGAAATGTCCCCGGTTCCAACCCCCTCTACCCCTGCTCCTCGGAGTTGCGGGGTGTGCCGCAAGTTCTTATCGACCCGGGATCCCCACGATCGTTGCCCGCGGTGCAGGGTTTTGCAGGGACACCCGGTGCACCCAGTGCGAGGGTACCACCTCCACGGCTGCGGCGGATCCCTTGGCGGCCCTCGGGCTGTCCGGGGTTTCCGTCGCCGCATTGCTATCTAAACTTGTGGACTCCAAGCTGGCGGCCTTATCTCAGGAAAGGCAGCTGCCGTTCCGTCCCCGGGCTCTTCTGTGGCCGCGGGGTCCACCGGTACGGCGGCGGCTGCCGTGGTCACCGGCCCTTCCCCAGAACCGTTGCTCCCGCTATCGGTTAAGGACCGCGTGGCCATTGTTTCTGACCTCTTCGAGGACATGCCCAAGCCCCTGCCGATACCACGGGGAATCCACGGCTCCGTGGGTTCCTCCGAGGTGTACGACGAGTCGTCCGACAAGGCTTTCCCGGCATCAACCTTGCTGCGCGGCATTAAGCCTTCCCTGGAGAAAGCCTTTGCGGCTGCCTCCGGTCAGGGTCGTGGTCCCGGTGCATGACCTTGCCTTTCCCCGAGGCTGGTCCTACCGCGGAAGCCCATGTTGAGCGTTTGTGTGGTCGTGCCCCACCGGCTGCCACGGTAACACAAGGTACCTTGCAGCAGCTGGACACCCTCGCTCGACACTCCATGCTTGCAATGTCTCACAAAGACACATACCTGGCTGCAGCGGCCAGTCTGGTCGATGGTTCTCCCACGGACCGAGACCAGCGCATTTATAACTGCCTGATCGGTTTAAATGCTTCCCTGGAGTACGTTGCCGGGGCTGCCATTTTCTCCGGCGCCAGTCGTATCTGGTTGCCTCAGGGTTGGACGCTGCTAATCAGAAGGTGCTCCTTTCGCAGCCTTGGTCTGCTCGGACCCTGTTTAATAACAAGATCCCTGGGGTTCTAAAAGAACAACAGGCCGCTGTGTCTGCTGAGGCCTCTCAGCACACGCTGGATCTTATGGGGTCCCTGTATAGGCGCCTGAGTGCCGCTCCTAAGCGGAGCGCGCCTCAGGATGCTGCGGCCGGCAGGCCTAAGGGGTCGGGTTCTTCTTCCTCTGGGAAGAAGCCCCGCCCTGAGGGCTCAGGTAAGGGCTCTCAGCAGCCCTTCCGCGGGAAGAAGGGGAACTGGGGGAAGCCCAAGTCGTCTAAGGACGGCAAAAGCCCCTCCAGGTGACTCTTTGGAGGGGTTCGTGTGCCGACAGCGCCAACTTCGGTTGGACCGTAGGCGAACCCGTGTCACTCAGCCCTGGACAGTTGCGCCTGCCGCAGCCTGTCAGGGCCCCCTCTCCTTCCCCAGTGGGAGCCAGACTCCAGACTTACTGGGAGAATTGGGAACAAGTGTTCGACGACCCGTGGGTGGTCAACACGATTCGGTACGGCTATCGGCTCGATCTCAAAGCGAATCCGCCGCTCACCGTTGCACTGTCGGCAGGTTTCTATTCGGAAACCGATCTTCCCATCCTCGCCGATGCCATCGGCAGGTTGGTGGAGAAGAGGGCAGTTCGGGAGTTAGCTCTACCAGAAATAACACCGGGGTTTTACTCCAGGATATTTCTAATTCCCAAGAAGGCCAGTGCCGAACTCAGAATGATTCACAACTTGAAATGTTCAACGAGTTCTACCTGCACAAGCCGCCCAAGTTCAGAATGTTGAGCTTGGCGGACCTGAAAGCTCTGATCATGCCGGCGACTGGCTCGCTTCAAACGACCTGAAGGATGCTTATCTGCATGTTCCGATTCACTCGGATCATCACAAGTATCTCAGGTTTGTCTTTCAAGGCAGGCACTACGAGTGGGTTGTACTCCCATTCGGTCTTTCATCCGCTCCCTGGCTGTTCACCCGGTTAACCACCCCAATAGTGGGGTTCCTCCACCGGAGGGGTGTCCGGTACTTCTCGTACCTGGACGACTCGCTAGTAGCAAATCGAATGACGGACACGCTGTCTCGGCAGCTCGATTTCGCACTTCGGATCTTGGAGCAATTGGGGTGGATTGTCAATCACCCTATGAGCGAGTTCACCCCCTTTCAGAACTTGCAGTTCATCGGAGGTCGGTTCAACACGGTGCCCCATCGCCTCTTTGTCCCCCCAGACCGGTGGCACAAGCTTCAGGCGATGATTGCCAAAGTCTTAGCGGTGCAACAGACTGTTCACTTTTGGGAACAGCTGTTAGGGTTACTTGTGTCAGCCCAGGACTGCACCGAACGGGGTCGTCTCCAACTCCGCCCGCTGCGACGGTTTTAGATCCAGTTGTTAGCACAGGCGGAGAACAGTGCGACCGTCGCCCTCCCGGATCGGCTCCGAGCGCATCTGGAGTGGTGGACGGTCCCTTACAATGTCTTATCAGGAGTCTCTATGCGGCCCTACCGGGCCACGTTGAACCTGTATACAGACGCCTCTCTAGTGGGCTGGGGCGCCCATCTAGAGGGGGAGGTGAGCTCGGGGCTGTGGTGCGTAGACGAACTAGGTCTTCACATCAATTGTCTCAAGTTCAAGGCAGTGATCAACGCAGTCAATCACTGGAAGCATAGTATCGTCGACGCCCGGCTCATGCTGGCGACCGACAACACGACGGTAGTGTCCTATGTGAACAAACTGGGGGGAACCCACAGTCACTCGCTACTCGATCTCACGTTCGAGTTTTACGCTCTGGTGGACAGTGTCCCCTGCCAGATAAGCGCCCGTCACAACCCAGGTGTGCGGAACGTACTGGCCGACGCTCTATCGAGGCCTCAGGATCCGAGCCCCACAGAGTGGATGCTGAACCCAATAGTGTTTTAGTGGCTGTGTGAACATTTGGGTCGTCCGATGGTCGACCTGTTCGCAACACGGTTCAACAATCAACTCCCGTTGTTTGTATCACCAGTCCCGGACCCGAGGGCCATCGATCACGATGCTCTCGCGTTAGACTGGACAGGCTTGGACGCTTATGCTTACCCTCCGACAGCGTTGATACCACACATTCTAAGCCGGCTCCGAGGAGTTCTCTGTCGAATGTTACTGATTGCGCCCATGTGGCCGAACAGATCGTGGTACCCCGACTTGCTGACTCAGGTCACGCAGTCGCCACTTCCACTGCCTGTGAGGCCGGATCTCTTGATCCACCCTCACACCCGTCAGCTTCATCCAAACGCAGGGCAGTTCAATCTGCACGCGTGGATGTTGTCACCGAGCGTCTGAGGAGTAAAGGTTTTTCTTGTCGGGCGTCTCAGGCATACGTTAGTATGCATCGTGATTCTACCTTGAAGGTGTATAATGCACGTTGGGTTATTTTCACGAAGTGGTGTTGTAAACATCACATTCATTTGCCAGATAAGGTATCTGTGCAGGATATCGCTTGTTTCATGTCTCACTTGCGAGAGACCCGGAAACTCTCTGGAGGTTCCATTGCCAACTATGTCTCGTCCGTTGCTACGGTACGGGACATTGCTATGGGTACCAGTCTCTCCAAAGAGGGTTTCAAACAGCACGATCTTAAGAAGAGCCGCCTTCGGGCACCGGCCTGGGATCTTTCCCTAGTGTTGCAATCACTTATGGAAGCTCCATATGAACCCTTGCATAGTGCTTCGTTCCGGCATGTGACTTGGAAAACAGCATTTCTCCTCTCCTTTGCCATGTCGGCACGTGTATCCGAAATTCATTCACTCGATGTTGCCAAGGTACGCCAAGGCAAACGGAGAGAGAATTCGCTGTAAGATCACTTAAAGAAATCTTACATCCTGCTGATACTGAGGACAGAGCGCTGTGTCCGGTTAGGGCCCTTAAGTATTATCTTAAGGCTTCGAATGAACGTAGACAAGGGCGTGACCGTCTGTTCATATCGTGTAACCCTAATCGATTGCGTTGTGTCTTCGTTCCGTCATCAATCTGGCGTACCGGTCTCGGGGGTTACCGGTAGCGGGGTCAAACCCGCACGAGATCAGGGCGCTAGCGGCAACATTTGCCCTACACTCGAATATCTCTGTTCACAGAATATTACGAGGTTGTTACTGGCGTTCTGACTCGGTTTTTGCCAATCATTACCTCAGAAAGGTTTCTGATGAAGACGTGGAGGGGGTGCACCGTCTTGGGCCGCTGATATCGGCACAAGCGGTCATCTAGGGGGTGTGTCTAGCGCAATTCCCAAACTCCGCAGTCGTCGGTCCTTGCACGGTGGTCAATCTGGGTTGTCTCCAATGTTCCCACGCCGTGGGTACAGGAGTGGGGGTCCTGCAAACCAGCGCACTCGCACCACAGGTGAGGCGGCTTTTTGTGTGTTTTGTCCTTATTTGTATTTTGACAATTATGCATTTAATTGTCTGTCATGTATTCCATACCTTGTGATACATGCTTACGAATACTGGAATTAGGTCACACGCCTAATGCATACTTTAAGTAGGCTTGCTTTGGGATATATGGTCTGAATAAAACTAATTTCCCTCTTTCGACTGTTTCGACTGTTTAACCTGATCTAAGATTTAGCTCACGCGGATACAGTGTTCTCATCCGCTGCGGCGATGAAATACCTATCCAGTGGGGCTGTTTGGAGTCACCTATCGTTTTGGCAATGGCGATTGAGCCTTACGGTATGGGCTTGACAGTGCTTTGGTATTCCTATAGGGTAACGTCTAGCTAGGTGCATGCGCATCAGTGCTTCCGCCTTGGTGTTTACTTCCGCTGGTCGGAAGGAACGCTAGCAGTCAGGATTCGGGTTGTAGGTGCTCCCAACCGCCTACTGTGGTAGTCAGCCTCGGTATAACAGTGGTAACATATTACTTAATGTAATTTGTAGAATTTTCCTATTCGGAATATTCTATAAGTAATACGTTACCACTGGGCTGCTGCCCACCCGTCTGTCTCCCGAGCACTTGCTCTCGCTAGAGACAAGAGTGAAGGGTGTCACATGGCAGCTAGATGGCTACGCACGTGCTGCATGAGGTAATTGAGATCTCTGTGGTAGATTTCGCCATAGCAGCAGTTGTGGGAGACAACAGCCTCGGTATAACAGTGGTAACGTATTACTTATAGAATATTCCGAATAGGAAAATTCTACAAGTTATATGATCATGATGAGTATAGCACAAACAGATATCCTTAGTTAGGGCCCTTCAACGTGCTTATGTAACGGTGCATGGAGTCACAGCATGCCCAGCATGAGATTACTGTCTAGCGTTGTGGAGGCGGAAAACACTGTTAGTCTTTCCTGATGTGTGCAATACTTACAGAAGCAAAATGCCTGGTAGGCGCCACCTCTCTACTGAAGAAGCAGGTAGAGCCACAAGTTTAATGGAAGCTGCTCTGGGAAATGTGAAGTTGAATGTCAATTCAACATCAGCCATAGTGTGATAATCAGATTGTGGGAGAGGTATCAGACAAGCGGGTCGTGAAGAACAGGACAACCAAAGAAAACCACACTCCAAGAAGATTGACAAATTGCACTTCTTGCAAAGGGCAATTGGTTTTTTTCTGCAAAATCCCTGAATAATGAAACATTACTGGTGTGCGCATGTCTACTCAGACAGTTAGGAATAGACTTCATGCAGCTCGTTTAAGCACCATAGATCTTCTGTAAGTCCTCCATTGACCGTTTGACATCGACAGCGCCATCTTGAATTGGGCACAACTTGTCAAAATGGGTATGAACAAGTTACGACCTATTCTTTTCACTGACAAGTCTTGCTTTTGTCTTGACTTTTGGGCCAGGACTTTCTGTTAATGGATAATGCAAGACGTCACTGTGCCCGAATTGTGAATGAGTGCCTTATGAGAGAAAGTATTGAGAGATTAAACTGGTCAGCCTATTCACCAGACTTGAGCATGCCTGGGGTATCCTGAAGAAATTAAATTTAGATCATCCTTTAGACCGAGACCTTTGGATGAGCTGGCGGATGTGCTGGTAGAGGAAGGACAACGAATCCCACAAGCTGCTTTCAGGAATCTCGTTTGTAGCTTCACCAGGCATTGTCAGGTCATGATTAGAGCACTCAATATTGACATTGCTGTGAACATTCCTGATATTGAAATCAAGACTTTATGTTGACAGTCGGTTAGCGATGTTATTCTGACTGAGTGATTTTTTCACGAGACGGAGACTGACTTCAGTTTAAGGCTACCAAGGATGGTAACTGGACATGCTACATCTTTCTTAAAACATGGTGGTGATATTTCGGTTTTTAGGGATGATCCTTAACGTTTTTGGTTGAGTATAGAATAAACTAATTAAGTTTATTTTCTTCTTTAATTTATCTAATATTAAAACCCCTGAAAATACAGTATTTAATTTCAGCTAACATGTGCAACCATTATTTTGGTGGTTCAGCCTGATGAATTCTCTTGGTTGCACCTGGTGCAGGTGGTAAATAAGAATGAAATTGTGCCCTGCATCTGAAACACACAAGGGCTATGATGCTGAATGGTGTCTCCAAAATGTGCTCACAGAATTCCATGGCTGTCATTTTGGGAATGTCCGTACTGATTGTTGTGTCCATATGATGTAGAGACCAAAATTAAAAAAAAATGTTGTTTGTTCCAGAAAACCCTGGTGTATGATCCCGCTGCAAGAATCTCTGCCAAGGACGCCCTGAACCACCCCTACTTCAAGGACTTGGACAAGTCTGTGTTGCCGGCAGCTGCCCAGCACGCCTCATAGTCCCTCTCACAAGGCGTGAGAGACGGGCGACAACCGACCGACTGACTGACTTGTGAATGACTTGCATCACATGATGCTACCTGCTCCTTGTGTTCCAGGCATCTGTGAGAACATCACCAACCCGAAAGGCAGCAACAGTGGCCTGCTCTCGGCGGCGCGAAATCTATGAAATTGCATATAAGAAGAGTGCGAACATGGTGTACCGTATTTGGGGACAGCTGTTAAGCAGTATTTTGTTGTGAAAATAATAAACAAGATATGCTGTTACTCTGGAAAAGTGCTATGGGAAATTTAGAATTGAGGTAAAGTAGCAGCAGCAGCCGCAACAAGTCTGAAAATGGGAATTGATGTTTTGTGGGGACTTTGGTTAACATGGTTAAGGGTTTCTGTGTTAACACAGGGTAGACCCTTGGGGTGAATCGATACAGCAAGGTCACGATACATAGGTCACGATACATAGGTCACGATACATATCGCAACCTATGCATAGTCACGTCAAATTGTGTGGAATCTTCTTGACTATAAATATTTAAGAGCAGGTTAAAAAGGAAAAGCTAGCTGCAGACATGTTCGTAGTGGCTATTTTTATTATGGAACTTGAAACGCTAATTACAATACATTTTACGATATTTGACTGACAAACACTGTGGGAGTATATTAAAAGAGTAGTAAATAATCTATTTTTTATCCAGTGTATCATCCTGTATCGATACAAAACAAATGTATCGTGTATCGTTTCACCCTGAGTAGACCCATTGCAAGATGTGCTCAAGTATTCCCTTTGTTGTGATTATGTCTGGGGATGTTACTGTATGCTGTATACCTCGTAGAATGAAGTCTGAAAGGTGTTAGTGTGCTACAGTATTTTTACACTTTCAGACATATCAGGATATATGGTACTGTGTGTCACAGCTTGAGTGAAGTACGTGTTGTACTAGTTCAGCATTTACCATTAATTCATTCATTATTGAATCAGGTCTCATTTTAACCAAATCTGTAATTTCCACATGTCACTAATTATATCATGACATTGTTGACCTTTCCACTCTGTGAGCTCCATGTGTATGGAAGTGTGTGAGTGTCAGAGAGTTTGTCGAGTGTGGACGACCCTGAACGTCAAGTGCAATACCTCGTCTGTCTGTCTCTCTCTGTATTCTTCCCTCTCCTGTCTTATCTTCCTTCCTTCATGTATAAATGCCATAACACACTCAATAAACAATGGTTTATATATCCTTGTTCTGTTGAAGTTGTTTATCATTGCTCATTCTACTATGGTCTAAATCAGTGTAGCTAATTTTTATATCCTCTAGGGCAATTCTTGCTAGGAATGACTGATAAGGTTATGTGGTTAATTGACTTTTACATATGTCCCTAGTAGGGTTGGGACAAGTCTAAATATACCACCTGGGTATCCGACCCCCTTTTTGTCGATCCTGCTGGGTACCTGCTGTAGGTCTCAAGAGTTATGCACAAAAGTAAGATGTGTAATATGTGATCATTCACACACCGAAGTTGACTGAAACGTTATCTTTGCTCAAACCTAAAATTCAGATGGACTATGTGCACAGTCAGAAAGTGATACGGACATTAGCAACTTGTAGTGTAACCATGGACTTTTATTGTTTTTGTCATCATACAATATATCCTGGGTCTGGGTACTCCTGTGGGTACTGGAGTCCTTCTCAGGCCCCTCTTGATCGGAGTACCGGAGTTACCTGTCCCAGCCCTAGTATACGAACATTAGCGACTTCTGAATGTGCCTGAAATTCTACAAATTACTTCATTTTGGAGTGTATACCTGAGTGTTTCATTTTGACCTGCATCAGTTCCCAGGGCTATCCAGCATAATGAACCAAATAACCTGACCTATAATTGTACTTCACAGATTGTCATGCCTGAGTGTGGCGTGGACAACGATCTCAGTATTCCAAAAAAGCTCAACATGACTGCAATGGAGGGGACTTAATCATGATTTGGGGTGGGATCAGTAAAGCTGGAAGAACTGATCTCCATGTCGTACAGTGGGGCACAGTGACAGGTGTGTGCAACTGAGATATGTACGTGAGCCAGTCCAGTCACCAGACCTCAACCCTATCGAACACACGTGGAACGAGTGACAGATTGCCCTTTCACAACTCTGTCCTTCCAGCAACTCCTCAGGAAATCAGCAATGCTCTCACTGAAGAGTGGAACAATCTCTCCTTGGCAAACACCAAGACACTTATTGAGAGATGGTGCCAGGCTGTGAGATCACATGATTTGGATCACATACACTGTGACACCACATGCACTAGAGGAAGTAGAAATGACAACCCCAAAAGAAAATTTAAAACCATTATTTATTACAAAGAAAGAAAATAATATTTACATAACTTCTATTAGCTTTTAATTACTACACATGATGCTAATCTATTCTACTGCTGAACCCCAACACTATCCTACAACTACATATATACTACTGCTACTAAGACATTACACTTTTACAATAACACTAATTTCTTAAGATTTTAGACCAAACTACTCTCACATCTGTACTCAAATACTACTTACATATACATTCAAATATTGGTACAACATAGCCATCATTGTGCTATACCACAGCAAATCAAATGCAATTACATATGTACACAAAACAATCTAAAAGGTTCAGGTATATATTACATGATATTTCACATCACAATGGGGGCGGTGGGGTAACCTAGTGGTTAAAGTGTTCGCTCGTAAAACAGAAGGCCTGGGTTTGATTCCCCACATGGGTACAATGTGTGAAGCCGATTTCGGGTGTCCCCCGGCCGTGATATTATTGCTGGAATATTGCTAAAAGCGGTGTAAAACCTTACTCACTTGTTAATTGTCCTCCATGATAAAAGTTGAATTGAACTCAGTCAATGTATTGTCTATAATTACAACAGTTAGTCACTTGTAAATTGTCCTCCACAACAAACTTTGAATTGACCTTAGTCAGTTGATGACATGCATCAACCAAGTCAGCGAGCCTGAACCTCCGATCCTGTTAGTCGCCTCCTATGACAAGCATAGAAGCCTTTTATGTCAAGCATAGGTTCCTGAAGACCCATTCTATACCACTATTACTAATAATAGCAATAGCAATAGTAATAGCAGAAAAATACAAAAACACAGTTACAATCTTATTCATTATTTACATTTACAATATACATTCTACTAATCAACAAAGATTGATTATTTACAAACATTTAAATACACAATTTTTCAATACATGAATATTAAAATGAATGAAGTACTTGTGCCCAAAGGACCTAAGGTGTATTGCTGATCCGAGATGGGTACCACCTTACGTAACCCTGCACTCGCATTGACGATCTGCCTTCACAATCGTTCAAGTGACACAAGACTAATACAACATACACTGTATCCGCTTGCTCCCGCCTTCCATTCTCACGTTCAAACCTTAATATACATTTCAAAATAATATCAACATCTACCACTGATACAAGTATTTAGGATGGGCCTCATTGAGATTAATGGATTCTAAGGCTAGCGAACAGCCAGCTCTACAAACACCTAAAGAAAAATTCTACACATTATTCAAGGAGAATAAGTATATATTTCATTTTCTACAGCCTAAGCTGCATTTGACTAAAATTGTGTCTGTTTCATAATATACATCCGAAATATGGGGAAACAAGCATTGCTAATCCATTAAAAAAGTTCACGCTTTGTACTTCGGGAAACAACAAAATAGTAACTGTTGGTTCCTGAATAACAAATATATGTTATTTTCACGAGCCGACATGAGTTACAAAACACAATCCTACTTTCTCCAAATTAAAATATACTCTTCAAAAAAAGAAACTTGACATAGATGTAAAACCACTTTTTGCCAAATATCTAAAATAATTATATTAAATGAGAACCAAACAAGAGTTTGCCACTAACGTGGCTATATCCCCCGCCCCTGTTGCAGAATTTATGAAATAATTAAATCTAAACAAACTCTAACCTTTTTTAACCGAGATGGAACTTGTCATGGAAATTGTCAAAAAAAGATGAGTTTGGAACCTAAGTCCATCTTGTTGCCATGGAAACGTAAAACATGAATATTTCTAAAATTTCTCAATAGCAAAAGGCACCAGTTCAGCATGTACCTGACAGACCTGCAAAGTTTGATGAAAAAATATTAAACGGTTTATGAGTTATGCTCTGGAAACGAACCCTACCCTCACAGAACCTAAGTCCACCTTGTTGCCATGGAAACGTAAAAAATAAAAAATTCTAAAATTTCTCAATAGCAAAAGGCACCAGTTCAGCATGTACCTGACAGACCTGCAAAGTTTGATCACAAAAATATTGAACAGTTTATGAGTTATGCTCCGGAAACGAAACGTGACGGACGGACGGACGGAGCCCGTTTCTATATACCCCGTGGGGGATAATAAGTCAAACAGAAAGATGATGTGTCTACAATTCGCGAAAACCTATGCAAAGCACATAAACGTAGCGTTTGGGGATCAATTTTACAGCTTCATCCAAACGCAACCGCCTGTAAAAAACGTGCAGCACAGGATCCTGCATTTAGGCATGCAGGCCCCCCTGCAGAATGGGTATAAAAATCCACATCAACGGCTGTTCATACAGTCCTTATAACGGCAGTAGAGGCGGTGACAGAATGCCAAGACTGAATGCAGCTCAACGGAACAACGCCATTGGGAGATTACAAGCTGGAGCAACTCAGCAAGAAGTGGCCAGGCTCTTTGGCGTATCCAGACAGACAATCTCTGCACTGTGGACCTGATACAACAACACCAACAGAGTTGATGATAGACCAAGGTCAGGAAGACCAAGAGTGATAACCCAAGCACAAGATCGATACATCCGGCTGCGACACCTCCGAGACCGCACTACCACAGCCACGTCTACAACCACACAGATCCCTGGGGTACACAGAATATCAGATCAAACTGAGGGAGGCTGGACTTTTTGCACGAAGACCTGTTCGACGTCATGTATTGACCCCACGTCATCTGGCGGACTGTCTGCTTTGGTGCCAACAGAGGGTTAGATGGGCACGTGCAAGGTGGAGAAATGTACTGTTTACTGACGAGTCCCGTTTCCTACTCACACATGCTGATGGGCGCGCACGTGTCTACAGACGTCTGGGTGAGCGTTACGCCCCCAACTGTGTGCAGCAGGTTGTCCCATTTGGCGGCGGGAGTGTCATGGTATGGGCCGGAATTCATCACGGTGGTAGGACGCCTCTCGTGCATGTGGCAGGTGCATTGACAGGTATGCGTTACAGAGCCTTGATCCTACAGCCTTACGTTCTTCCTCACGTCAACGATCATGGCGGACAGTTCCAGCAGGACAACGCTCGACCGCATATTGCACGTGATTGTCAGGACTTCTTACAGCACAACAACATCCAGATATTACCTTGGCCAGCCCGGTCACCAGATTTGTCCCCAATTGAGCATCTGTGGGACGAGTTGGATCGACGCGTTCGCAGAAGGAATCCACCGCCCCAAACACTTCCGGCGCTTCTTGATGCACTTCAGCATGAATGGCAGCAAATCCAACAGCGTGTTATTGACAACTTGATTGCATCTATGGGTCGTCGGTGTCAAGCGACGATTGATGCACGTGGTGGGCACAACCGATACTGACATTTTCTGTACCCCTGTGACATAAACTGTATCGTGTACGTGTGTCTGTCTAGGTCACACGATTTATATTTTGAACATTGTGTACATTGATCTTCAAACAGTGTTTCAATTATTGTTTCTGTGTCCTATTTTGAAACAATCGCATTATATTACATTTTGAAGGTCAGTGTCAAGTTTCTTTTTTTGAAGAGTATACATCCTTACTTCTTGACTTTCACAAACTTGAGGAAAAATACACCCTCATTCTTTGAAATTGTATTTATACTGTATGGTGCACATGGAATGTGTTGTCTGAAGCTGTTGCACCAAGCGACATTACCAGCTGGTCGTTACAACTCATGGTACAAGGTATCCTTATACGGATGTTTCATCAATCACATGCATGGTTTTAACATGAACATTGTTATATGCAAAATTATGAAACACAACACACTATTGCCATAGCCGAGGACGACTTTAACATGTCTTCAGAACATGCTGGCAAGAGTTTCCTAAAACATTGAAATTCACTTGAGTTTCAAAATAAAAAAAATCCAAGTGGACATTTATTGAAGATATTTTTGTTTTGATTGTTGTTGAACGCCGAACTCAGCGATATTCCAGCTATATGTGACGGCGGTCTGTAAATAATCGAGTCTGGACCTGACAATCCAGTGATTGATACGTGCATTGATCTACGCAATTGGGATATGATGACATGTATCAACCAAGTCAGCGAGCCTGACCACCCGATCTCGTTAGTTGCCTCTTAAGACGAGGAAGCATTTCTGAAGACCTGTTCGGAATCTTCACAGGACTAATTGAAGATAATGATATTGAGGCATGAATAACTAACTGACTGTTAATTCATGAAAAATAATGGATCATTTGTACAATAGAGTGATGTCACAGATATGTTTTAAATGTTGGTAAACATGTTTCAAATAAGGCCATACTTGGTGACACTGGTCTTGTACTTTATATATTTCTAGCTGTCAACATTTGGTTGAAATGAGCAAAGATGGATGTACACAGACACAGGATTCACCACATGACACGTCGCCATACAATATGGTCAATGTACTTTATATATTTCTAGTTGTCAACATTTGGTTGAAATGAGCAAAGATGGATGTACACAGACACAGGATTCACCACATGACACGTCGCCATACAATATGGTCAATGTACTTTATATATTTCTAGTTGTCAACATTTGGTTGAAATGAGCAAAGATGGATGAACACAGACACAGGATTCACCACATGACACGTCGCCATAATTGCCATTAGCAGGTTACATCTTTACATTTTGTCTTTAATTGTGATGGTATCAAGACTCAGCTACAACTTGAATAATACTTAACTACATTACAAGATAAAGCATCAAGAAGAGCATTTTGTAAATTCAGAATGTCCTTGCATAATTTTCACATAAATATAGTTCGTAGGTCTAAGGATATTGAAGGTATTAATGGAGTACATGTATGTACAAAGTGTTGTAGTGGTTATTGAAGATGGATGTCATGTTTAATAGATTTGTAATAGTTATCACACGTGGGAAGAACATATCTTCCTGGTGTGTGTAAAAAGCATGATGATAAGCAATTGAGGATAAATCATCTTCATTCATAACACATTACCATTTTCTACAAAGCATGGTGTATTCATATCATAAATCATTGATGTAATAAAATATATAGCTATTTTCTAAAAACATATAAAACAAGGTCAGATTGTTTCACAAAACCATGTGACTAAGTCACTCGAACATGCGAAGCAAACTGTACTATGAATATTATTTATCTGCAAGTGAAACAAACATCTCTCGATGAACATCAATTGCATGTTTCTGTAGACGTCAAAGTCAATGTGACAAAACACAACTATTCATTTTCACCTCATCCAAGTCATCTTGAAAAACTGAAGAAAAACTTTCCAAATGAGTTCACAGAAGAAACAGATCTTGAACAATTCCTCTTTCACAACGTTGAGTGATAACATTGTGTTTCATTGTAATATCTGGGTTTAACACTGTGAGCATGTGATAGTTATTATACTATTGCCGCCTTGGCCGAATGGAAGGCAGAAAAATCTCAACTACTAGTATTGCTATCCATTGAGTCAGGTCAGCATTCCTTGATATGAGGAGGTCAAACACACTCTCATGACCTGATAGAGCTGCTATCACAAGTGGAGTGTATCCGTTTATTCCCCCGGTATTGATGTTAGAAGGTGACACAAGATGTTGTACTATGGCCTTGTTACCACCCTGACAGGCAAGATGAAGGACACTATTACCATCTCTCTCCACAGGTGTCAGGTCAGCTTGCTTGGATACTAGGAGGTCAAACACACTTTGATGTCCTCTGACAGCTGCCATCATTACTGTTGTATATCCGTTCTGTCCTCTAGTATTGATGTTAGAAGGTGACACAAGGTGTTGTACTATGGCCTTGTTTCCACCCAAACTGGCAAGATGAAGGACACTATTACCATAATTGTCTACCAGTGTCAGGTCAGCTTGCTTGGATACTAGGAGGTCAAACACACTTTGATGTCCTTGGAAAGCTGCCATCATTACTGGAGTGTGTCCATTGTGTCCCCTGGTATTGATGTTAGAAGGTGACACAAGATGTTGTACTATGGCCTTGTTACCACCCTGACAGGCAAGATGAAGGACACTATTACCATCTTTATCCACCAGTGTCAGGACAGCTTTCTTGGATACTAGGAGGTCAAACACACTTTGATGTCCTTGGAAAGCTGCCATCATTACTGGAGTGTGTCCATTGTGTCCCCTGGTATTGATGTTAGAAGGTGACACAAGATGTTGTACTATGGCCTTGTGACCACCCTGACAGGCAAGATGAAGGACACTATCACCACTCTTGTTCACCAGTGTCAGGACAGCTTTCTTGGATACTAGGAGGTCAAACACACTTTGATGTCCTTGGCCAGCTGCCAACATTACTGGAGTGTGTCCATTGTGTCCCCTGGTATTGATGTTAGAAGGTGACACAATGTGTTGTACTATGGCCTTGTTTCCACCCGCACAGGCATGATGGAGGACACTATTACCATCTTCGTCCACCAGTGCTAGGTCAGCTTGCTTGGATACTAGGAGGTCAAACACACTTTGATGTCCTTGGACAGCTGCCATCATTACTGGCGTATGTCCGTTCGCTCCCCTAGTATTGATGTCAGAAAGTGACATAAGATGTTGTGCTATAGCCTTGTTTCCACCCTGACAGGCCATGTGAAATAAATCATTTCCATATTTGTCTTTGGTTTTCTTGTTAGATATTGATTGCAATACCTGATAACACTCATAAGATCCCATGCCTGCTGCAATCATTAGTGGAGTCCTTCCTTCGTCATCAGTAGAGTTCATTACACCTTGCTTCACGTCATCAGTAAAGACTTTGCTGGTGTGTTCTTTCAGTACCGTTAGTGTTTTCTTATGTCCAAACATGCATCCTATGTGTATGATGTTTCTCTTGTTTTCATTAACGGTAAACACATTGGCACCATTTTCTATCAGATAAACAAGTGTTTCAGAGCTCCCACAAAGACCAGCCAGCAAAAGCAACAGGTTCATGGCAAAATCAGTGCATGGGTGTTCAGTCCTGGAGAAGAGCCACTTCAGTACTGCCAGGTTGTTCTTCATAACACAACCAATCGTGCCTTCTCTGATCTCTGTTTGAGTAAATTCTCCTCCAGTTATATTTTCGATTTCTAAGACAAATTTTTCATTGTGTCCAAGAACAGCCCAAAACAAAAAGCACCTCCCCTTATCACTTTTGTGAAACCAACTCTTGGCCATGGATCTATCACGGTGCAGTTTTTCAAGCAGTTGAAGAGCCACCTTTTCTTGTCGGAGGATGGGGTGTGTCACTGATTTAGAAAACTGCCCATGCTGCATTGATTCTGCAAGTCGAGTAGTCAGGATGTCATAATACTTTTCGGAGACGTATATTAGGGGGAAATGATCATCAATTTTGCTTTCCTCCACAGGATGTGGTTGCACTCGTTCATATATGAAATTATCACTGCAGTGAGTCAGCACAAATGTTGGACTGATGTCATACAACGAACAAGCACAAGCATCATATATGGAAGAATGGGCAAATCCAACAGCATCACCACGTGTAAAGAATGTTCCTCTAAAACACTTTGCTGCCTCGTACATTCCTAAACGTGAAGCTGACGGCAGCAACTCTAAAACAGTTCTGACCATGTTGTCCAGTTTCTTGTCCTTGCCGTCTGCTTCCAACTTGGCCAAATCTATCCTATCTTCACATAGTAGCATCAGAACTAATATGGCTGATCGATCAGTTTTCGCCATCAGTAATTGTCTGAGTTCTTGCCTAAGATAAAACAGTGGTTCCTTGAAAAATTTCTTTGTATTTTGGAAAATGGATGAAAAGTCAAAAATAAGTTTACAAGTGAGAGGAAATCCAAAGATATCGGAATCCATCTCCCACAGTTCGAAGTATGGTATATCCTCATCAGAATGGTCTCTATGTATGTCCCTGTGGTGCTCAAATATAGCCTGTTTCTCTGCTTGAGTATATCTGTGTTTCTCTTGAGTGGTTAAATCCACCAGTGTTTGTCCCTTGAACAGCGAGAATCTTTCATACTGCAGCTGATCAAGTCCATCATGGAAGTTGTATGTCTTGGATGTGAAGACAACACGAATATCCTTTGTGGCTGGTTTTATTGGGTGAGAACCTCTACTTGATTCATTTTCATGTTTATCTCTTCCTGGTTTAGCTTGCTGTTCTTTTTGTGATTCCCACTTCTTGGTTGACTTTTTGCAGTGTTTTAAGTGTCTATCAAGCCTATTGAGAAATGTTTTCAGCTGTGAAACATTTGTCGATAATCCAACAGTACCAAACATATCATCTATGATCAGAAATACTCTAGGTGAAGAACTCAAGAAGCTGTCCAAGTCAAACTGTTCAATTCTGTCCACAAGTGCAAGTTTGTACCCCCTTTTTCTATACTGAGAACCAAGCTTGAGAGCTGCTGTTGTTTTGCCTTCTCCCGAAGCACCACAGATGGTGACATGGCCATGCTGCTTCAGTTTTTGTTTTACAGTCCTGAAGCTCTCTGTTTCCACAAAGATTTCTTCAGCATCACTTATTTGAAGGTCAAGGGTAGCTGCAAATGAAAGCAACCATCATTAAATGATTTATTTATGACATTATGTTAAAAGTACTCATGCTCTGACAGCTATGTGGTTTTAAAACCTATTTTACATAGGCTCTAGTGTCTGATCCAGTATGTTTGGCTCTGTAAATTTCTTCTCTGAAATTGCCACAGTTAGGAAGCTTAACTTTGGCATGTAATTTTCTACTACTGATGACATCATATTTAGTTAAAAGTGCCAGTTTTTGGCCCTCGGTATTTATGCAGAAAATACTTTGATATCAGATCTGACAGAATATTTTCTGCATATGCATAACCAGTGCTGACATGGCATTACCTACCTTCACCAACTGTCCCTGCAGGGGTTGGTCCAGTAATTATGTTCTGTGTCTGGACGAGAGTGAGGACCTTAGGGGCATCACCTGTCAACATTTCAGTGACACAAATGCATTACACTGCTTAATAATAACAAATAATCGAAAAGCAGGACAATAACCACATAGCTCACCTTCTACGGGATAAGGGGCGGTCGGGTAGCCTAGTGGTTAAAGCGTTCGCTCGTCACGCCGAAGACCCGGGTTCGATTCCCGACATGGGTACAATGTGTGAAGCCCATTTCTGGTGTCCCCCACCGTGATATTGCTGGAATATTGCTAAAAGCGGCGTAAAACCATACTCACTCACTCACTCTACGGGATAACATGTGCAGATATCTTTAATTGCTATCAGTCATCATTCAAATTCAAATCTTTATGGAACAAGTTTCATGTGTCTAACAAACGTTGCTAACTGTTGACTGGTCCTGTTTTGTATCATATTTACTATCACCATGCGAGTTCTAGGTTAGAATTGGTCCCAGACAACCTGTACTGGTTGTAAGAGGCGACTTAATGCAATATCTTGGTTGAAAGCATATCATTGTACCCCGACAGTGTGGATCAATGGTGCCAGGGGAACAGACTCAATTATTTACAGGCCGTCATCACATTAATAGTATAGTTTGTTTGTTTGTTGTTTAATGCCGCACTCAGCAATATTCCAGCTATATGACGGCAGTCTGCACCAGACCATCCAGTGATTCATATCATGGGCATCGTTCCACACAATTGGGATACGATGACATACATCATCCAAGTCAGCGAGCCTGACCACCCAATCCCATTAGTCGCCTCTTACGACAAGCATAGCATGGGTTGTGTCTAGTGGTGTGCCATTTAACTGAAATCAGCAAATTAAACAGATTGTTAATTTTGATAAAGAACAAAGATTCTATAACAGCCTTAGACTGATTGTACACAGTGTCATCGAGAAGTATACAACAGAATTGATATCAAATTGTTAAGATTGCTTCCATTTAATTCAAATTTATATTTATTAACTTCATCTAAAAACAAAAAGAACTGTACCTTACATGTTGGCAGGGTACAGTGAAATTTAGTAAAATCTAAATATTTTTTACATTTGTATACTTATCCTGCATTACTCCGTATTGCATTTACTGCTATGTTTGACAGAGAGACGAACTGTGTGAGATCCAGCTGCTGAAGAAAGTTGTCCCAACCAGCCCAGGAGGCAGCGCCCTCTCACAGTCGGCACGTGACCCGGAAGTCATGACGTCACACAAAAAGACATAACTGCTTTAAACATAACATCTGAAACTTCGTGGGGAGGTAGCGTAGCGAAAGGGAGGGCACTTAGACTTCGTAATGCAGGATAAGTATACAAATGTAAAAAATATTTAGATTTTACTAAATTTTTTAACTTATCCTGCATTACTCCGTATTGCATCTTTATCAGACGGCTTGGCCGGTGGGCATACCTGCAGATGTGAACCATATTTAACCCTCGTCAAGGTCCGATGAATCCGCACCGCATACAAGTGATGACCGGAACATCTAGGACCATTCCTGTCTTCAGGAAACAAGAGTCGATGCAAAAACGAAACGCCCGAATAGGTAACCGAAATACAATGAGGCGTGTAGCCAAAATATATAACTTACCGAAGAGCGAAAGCAAAACGCAGTAGAACCCTCTAATCTGAGGTGATAAACACCAGAGAGTTCGACGGGCCCGCTCGGGGAATCGAAGAATCAGCGGCGTCGGCAGCAAAATCTACGACCAATCCCAAGAGCGAATGCGAAACGCAGGAGAGCCCTCTAGGCTGGAGGCAAGGAACACCGGTGAGGTCGACGGGCACCGCTCAGGTACCAGAGAAGCCGCGGCGTTGGCGTCGGCGCCAGTGTCCACATCTACTACCATTCCTGTCGTCAGGAAACGAGAGTTGATGCAAAAAGTAAAACCCGGATAGGTGACAGAAATAGAATGAGTCGGGTAACCCAAAACTAAAACTGACCTAAGAGCGAATGCGGAAGGCAAGAGAGCCGTCTCGTCTGGGGTGATAAACACCAGAGAGGTCGACGGGCCCCGCTCAGGGTATCGGAGAATCAGTGGCGTCGGAGATAGATGACCTGTTGGGCTACAACCAGGGACCAAAACTGTGAACGTCGGCGACAACTTTCAAGGCTACATCACGGAAGTAGTGGTTGGTGAAGGCGGTGTCCGATCGCCACGAACAGGCTTCCCTGAACGACGGGATGGAACAGTATACCGTGAAGAACCAGTGTAAATACGATCGCCCTGATCTCATTTTATTTCAGGTAATAGCCTTTGGGGGGAGGGTCCAATCCGGCGGCTCATACGCTTTAAGGATGACCGCCCGGAGCCACAGGGAAAAGTATTCCGGCTGACCAACGACAGCGACGAAGGGGAGACCGGCAGAAAAAGGTGTTTCCTAGACTTGCGGCAGTCTTTAGATCGTAGAATAATCTTCAGTGCCCTTACTGGGCATAATGACGCTCATCCTCATCCTCGGCACCCACACTGGACGAGGGGGGAGGGGACAAGGAATGATCTATCAGGCTGTCCTGGGAGTTGAGTCTTTACGCTGACGTCCCAGTACGGTCCATGATGAACGGCGCCCTGGGTACCGCATTTGAACCGGGCATGGGAGACGTCGAGGGCGTGCTGTACATGGACTCGAGCGGCAGTAGTCAAAACCAGTAGAAACACCCGTCTTCTACTTAAGGTCGTAGAAGGAAGACGAGGGGAGTGGTTCGAAGGGCGTTGAAGACCACATTCAGATCCAACGCAGGCGGTCCGAACTTGGTCTTCAGGTCTTCAAGACTGAACGAGCGCAGCCAGGCCCGTAGGTCGGGAATTTTCGTCTTTCTCCGATCGTCCGGGATGGCCAGAACGGAGTAGATGGCGACCAGGTATGTGGGGGTGGTAAGCCCTTCAACCGACGGGTGCTACACAAGTACAGAACTGATCCAGGATCTACGGTGACGCTGTCATCGGATCCTGGTGTTTGTCAGAACAAAATGCCTGGAACAAGCATCATTTATCAGCATACAGTCCCCCTGTAGATGGACGGTGGGCTGAAGCAATAGCCTTGGTCGCTCTAGCCGAATAGCCCTTGGCTTTCTGCATGTGTGTCAGGCCTGCAGACGATAACATGCGGGTATGAGGGTGTGGCAACAGACCGTGTGGTTGGACCACACCGGAAGTTCCAGGGGTTGTCTCTGGCTATGTTTCGGAGGTCGATAACCCAACTTCTGGCTGACCAATAAGGCGAGACCAAAGTCAATGGCAGGGGTCGAGTGGCCTGGATCTCTGAAGAACCGTGGGAGGGAGAACCGGAGTCGGAAAAGCGTACGCGCGTAATCCTTCTCAGGAACGATGGAAGGCTTCGACTGCCACAGCGGTCGTATCCGGCACAGGTGGAATGGAAGACGACAGCTGGCCACATTCAGATATGAGGCAAACAGATCTAGGGTTGGGGTGTCGACCGTTTCACATAGTCTGGCCCGAGGCGCCGGAGAGCGTGAGGCGTCGGAGAGCTTGAGGCGCCTGGAACGCCGAAGATGGTGATTCTCGGGGGGGGGCCGGTCGAGTTTGTAGCGCCGGGAGAGGGGCGAGAACTCTGGGTCCGCGCTATCGTTCTTATAGCGAAGGGTTGATGAAACAAGGTTCCTCGTGACAGCCGTGTTGGTAGAGGAGGTCTATTGTTTCCAACATCCGTGCATGGATGGACTGCGACAGGCGCCTGGTTGAGTGGTATCACCAAGCGTACAGGTAGACATGGAAACCAATCTGTAGAAATACATGGCACCCCTTGCCATGGTAAGTTGACCTAAATCCGGTCGGAGTTGTTGACAGTCCGAGTACTTGACACGTGACATGTAAATCACTCTGCGCAGTAGCCGAGAAAACCGCCTTGGAGTCGGAACTGAGGTGCAAACTCCACACACAGACAATCCTCAATGAACTGTGTGAGAGACGATCAAGTGGTGTACCCGAGTTTTGCGATAAAACACGGAACCCCATGGGCGTCGTGGAAAACCCGGGGAGCGCCGAGGAAGAGTCTCTCTCAGGAACGCTGGCGCTAGGGTAGGGTAGAACAGCGTTGATGTCTGCGATGTCGACGAAGTAAACTCTTTGTAAGTGGATGTCGTCGTCGAATCTGATACAGACGCTGTTCACATGACGCTGTTTCGATGGAAACCCGCAGGTCATCTCTCCGGAATCATAGCGTTTTAAACGACAGGATTATGGATAACGTCTCAGTGGGCAAGTTGAATCAGACCAACTGTCTATTGGTTGAAATGATTCCACCCAGGAAGTAGAACGATAGTCACGATCCCGAAGACCGACGGGAGAGTAGCGACAGGAGCGGCGACAGTTGTTTCACCATGCTTCTCCGTGTTACGAGTTATGAGACGGCAGCAAGAGAAGAGGGCAGTGGCGCCAGGGAGGCGATTGCCGATGGTGCCCCTTAAGCCGCAGTAGAAGATCGGATGGTCGGCTCGTTGATCTGAGCTTGATAAAGCTTGTTGATCTGAAGCTTGTTGAGCGCCGAAGACATCAGAGGATGCGGAGGCGCCGGAGCGCGGAGACATCAGAGGCGCCGAGACATCAGCGGCGCCGAGTCATCGGAGGCGCCGGGAGCGCCGAGTCATCAGCTTGTCATGAACAAGTCATGAAGCTTGTTGAGTGCCGAGTCATCAGAGGCGCCGCGTCATCAGAGGCGCCGAGACATCGGAGGCGCCGGGGGCGCCAGGGGCGCCAGGGGCGCCGGAGACATCAGCGTTGACGGTGTTGGAGACCGTGAACGGTCGTATGTCGTGCCAGGGGAGGCAGACTCTACGTTGGGAGCGCTGGAGCCGCCGGTGGAGTAGGAGACCGTGAACGGTCGTATGTCGTGCCATGGGAGGCAGACTCTACGTTGGGAGCGCTGGAGCCGCCAGTGGAGTAGGAGACCGTGAACGGTCGTATGTCGTGCCATGGGAGGCAGACTCTACGTTGGGAGCCGCCGTGAAGCTCCGCTGAGCGCTGCTGCCGTCAACGTAGGTGGGGGTCGACGAGCACGTTGAGCGAGGTGTGTCCTGGATACTCGCATGAGCTGAAGGATCACAGCGACGAATGACTGCAACATCGGCACTGCCTTGTGAAAGTACAGGGCGTCGTACAATCAGGGCAGAAAGGGGCGGCCCCGACCAGATTTGTTCCCGCGGCAACAAGTGCAGCGAGGCAGAAAATCTGGAATTTAAGCAAAACATAACTATGTGGCAAAGCCACAAAGTGCGGGAAGCATAATGTGTGGCCAATCACAAAGTATGGGAAGCATAAAGTAACTCAAAAACAGTATATTTTATTAAAGTTTATGAGATAAACAAGTACGCTAAAAGGGAGCGAAAAGGCAAAGCCTTAAGCAAACACGTAACCATGTGGCAAAACCACAGAGTACGGGAGACATAATGTAACTCATAAACTTCGTATTATATTGAAGTTTATGAGAAGAAACAATTACGCTGAGAGGTAGCGAAAAGGCAAGGCTTTAAGCACACCAAAACAACATACATAAATGTAATGTATTACCCAAGCCAAAGAGAGAATTCAAAACGCAGAACACGACATTACGTGGCCACGTGGTGAATGGCCAAAATGGCGGGAAAGAAAACAAAATGGCGGGAACAACATTGCGCCCGTAAATTACTATGACGTGAGCCACAGACGAGCGATAAACGTTACAATTTACGAATGGGAAGACCCTAAGGTCACGGCCCATAACAGGTAACAATGTAGCAGCATATAATGAATGTAGAAACACGCAAAATATAAAAAACAAATAATAAGCTTTAATTTCCACAAGGGATACAAAGTACGTCCGTCCGTGGAGGTGACAAAGCAGTTATGTCTTTTTGTGTGACGTCATGACTTCCGGGTCACGTGCCGACTGTGAGAGGGCGCTGCCTCCTGGGCTGGTTGGGACAACTTTCTTCAGCAGCTGGATCTCACACAGTTCGTCTCTCTGTCAAACATAGCAGTAAATGCAATACGTAGTAATGCAGGATAAGTTAAAAAATTAGTAGAATGGGTCTCAGCCACTCAGATTCCGACAAGTACAATGCTTTATGGATGGGTTCATATGTTGGGGTCATGTTGTTTTAAATAAGTATCTCTGGATTTATTGAGGTCATGAAACTGGGCTACTTGATTCTATGTTTTATGAGATGGAAATGATAACGTACCAGGGCTGTCTCTCAGCGGAGTACCTCCGCTGATGACCTCAATCGTCTGGTCTTCAAGGTCCTCCTCCTCCTGTGTCAAGGCCACACTTGTCACATCACTTGAACTGGCCATCTCAGTCTAAGGTCTTTACACAGCTATGTCATGCAGGGATGAAGTTGCTATTGTCAGGTCCATCTGAACAAACAAACTATTTTAATATAATTCACAACCACTGATCTAACTTTCAACCGATACATACAACTGCATTACCTCCGAAGAGTATTTTGTTTATGTTAATATAGTTAAAGTTTGTTTGTTGTTTTACACCGCACTCAGCAATATTCCCGCTATATGACGGCAGTCTGTAAACAATTGAGTCTGGAGTCTTGAGTACGGATTAATGACATGCATGAACCATGTCAGCGAGCCTGACCATCCGATTCCGTTAGTCGCCTCTTGCGACAAGCATAGTCGCCTTTTACGGCTACCCCGGATGTTGATGTGTCTTTTGTTTATGTACTCATCAGGTGACACATTTTATTTTTGGGACTGTGGCACTAAAATGCTTCCATACTGATCAAGTCGTCGCTGTATGGCTGAAATAACGCTGATGCGACATTAAATTTTAATTCACTCACCCATACTGATCAAAGGATTGGTGAGCTCAAATGTCTGCTTATCCTGAATCATACAAATGTAAAGAAAAAGAAATACCCAAATAAAATACCATACATAAGAAGTAGATTTAAATGTAAAATGTTCAACAATTGTATAATTATAATACTTATCCCATCTAACATTTCTCTGTTCTCAGCCGATCATAGAGTGGAAACGATTAAAAAAACACCTCACCCGAACACATCCCAGGTATCACCACTAGCTGTTGCAAAACATGGACCTTCGCTACCTGACCACGTGATCTGTCCTGCCAACTTGTTGGAAGAGAGTTTGTAGGCTTGCGTAACTGAGAGGCTGGGATGGCTGGGTTCAAGTTTTTCGTGCGATAGGATGCATTTTATTAAATGTGTAAATTATACAATAAATTGTATATTCATATTACTTATTGAAATAGCCTATGTTAATCCATAAATTATTGTAAATTCATATTATTGTTATTAATTAAACAAAGATAACTTTCAAATTTAATATGCTAGTTGTATTCATATGAATGAAATACTGGAATTTATCAGTGACGATACAACTTTTTTATATCAGTCACTAGTGACTGATAACTTGATCTATCAGTCACTACACACTCCAGCGCAGTGGTGACTCAGCATAACACCACTGCCACAGGCTAATTTGCATATCATGTGACTAGATTTTTCTCTTGTTTGTAAACAAATGCGCTTTTTCAGAAATCAGTATAGAACAGACTAATGCAAGTATTTGGGGGAGCTTAACATATTGTTTTGCATAATTATATAGATATGCTACTACAACTGGGACAGTGAACTTCATGACAATATATATTTATACATCAATGTGACCATATCGCTAGCTCTCCGTTGGCCTTCAATGACAGCACATGGAGATGTACAACCAATGTAAACAAACGATAACTACGCAAAAGCAAGTAGATTTTCACGTTTTAGGATACTTTCTAAATGAACCGTAACCATTCTTTGACAACTGTTTATCACAAAGTGAAAGCTTGTCAAAAATGAAACGGATGAACAGCATATGCAATATCTTGAATGGTCTGTGAAAGATGTGACGAATCGTCACATGGTGCTGGCCTGTGGCAGAGGAACTATGCTGGCCGCAAGGAACTCTGGGTAGGAGAGCGCAGTCACTAGTGACTGATATAAACAAGCAAGCTCCTTCCCAGCGCGTGACACCTTCGTTACACTCTCGGTAACATCGCTGCCACTAGTGTGGGCGCAGCCATTACAAGAATCTTGAAATTTGCCCTCTAACCCCAAATGTAGAAACGTCGATACTTTTGTTTATATCTTTAGGAATGCCATGATATTTCATTTCGAAAAGGTTTACGACTGACCATGTTTTCCAGATGAATTTACTTTGTTGTTTTAATGATCAGATTGGTTCGAGATTGCAGACTAACGGAAAATCAACCAAATTCTCCCTTACATTCTTACTATATCAATAACACGATAGTTTTTAATGAAACAGAAATTCAAATTGACAAACGAAGAAAGTAATTGAGCAGTGATAAGTGTATTCGGCGTCATGTCAGTCATCACTTGTTTGTAAACGTAACGGTCATTTGGTTGTGAGTTCAACTCCAAGCATGGTTGTGGCCACCTATTCACAGTGGGGAGTTTTGACTGGTGGTGGCGATAGTATTAGAGAGCTTAACGAACGGGCTATTGCTGTGAGGAGCTTGATAAACAAGGTGCCGGAACTACTTTCTCCTGAATCAAAACATTAAAGAGTTATCCCACTTTGTTTACGTCTGCTTAGCAACAAGAAATAATGTAACATGTTTATAATAAATAGAAAATTTAATGTGTTTTCTCAAATATCAGACATGGAATCTGATGTCTGGAAATAACATCTATGGCAATGTTAATATCACTCTTGCGCCGGACATGCTTCGCCAGACATAAGGCACAACTGGCGACAGCGAGACGCACCACCGAGGCGAGAAGCGCCCGCTTGAATTTTCTGAGAATTGAACTTTCCTAATTTAATTCATGACAGCAAGCAACAATGTTTCAGTTCAAATGTTCGGGGTTCAATAAATGTGTTTATGTCAACTTTTTTATACTTACCTGAGAGAAAATCTGATCGAATTTTGCGGATTTTGTAAACCTGGAGAGCGCTCAGCTGATCGTTCGACATGGTCACAGTACTAACTGTTTATGTATTCCTACGCCAATAAAATACTAGCTGTTTGAAAATGATTTCTGTTTTCATTTTAAACAGGAATGTTTAATTATGACAAACAAACATGTCCACGGAACTTAATACTCGATATGAAATAATATATTTCGCATAACATATATTAACAGGGTTAGTTTTATTCACGAACTATATTCTTTTCGCAAACCCCCTTTATACGGTGGTGGTAAAAGGGCGACAGGGAGAACTTGGTTATTTATCAGACACTGTTTTCGAAAAAATATAGAAATTGCAAGTAATAAAAATTAAACATGTATATATAATAAATAGAAATTTCAAATGCCTGCGTCACTCGCAGGCTCTCCCCACTTCACTCGATGAGATGAAAGTTGTATTTGAGAAAACACATTATATATCCTCTATTTAGTATTATATGTCATTGAAAATATTTATCGTTTGGTTGTCCTTCTTCCGATTTCGTTATGTGTTTGAATTCGTCAGCATAATTAACAGTTCATTGACATTTCAGTTGATTGATATGTACATTTTCCTTATGTATTTACCTCATATATCGCTCACTTCTTACCTTTATTTACCGTTCAGTTTTCTGTAGAAAGTATCTTCTTTGCGGTGTTCCATTTCCTGGTTTGTAGCAAGCCGCCATTTTACGTCACAGCCTGAGTTGACTTTTAGTTTCGTATCTCGCATTTTGGTTATTCAGTAGCTTCAACTCAATTTATTATCATCTTAATATTTGTTTTAATTATTCTTTTAGAGACTTAGTTCAAGTGGGCTTTTATTGCTTTATGCTTTGCTATATCTATTGTACCTGGTTTGGAATGAGTTCGTTGATGACGTCACTCATCAACAGTGAGTTGATTTTACGACGCTTCAATTTAAGCTTAGTTTGGTCAAGTCTTAATTTATTTCCATCTTTTCTCTTGTAATAAGTATTGTTCATAATTATAATATTTATATAATTATTTATTGGCTTTAATCACTTGTTGGTTTTATGTTTGTGAAATATATTTAATTAACTGTGAGTGTTGGGGTGATTGAGATTAACATCCCCAAGCCTAACCCTGAGACCGTCACACTTATCCATCTCACTCTTTGCATTTATCCCATGGTTGGAGAGTGGGGCGCAGATACCCAAGCGTGAAACAAACCTCAACGCGAGGGAGCTGGTCCTAGAACTGTCCAATAAACGATTGTCACATTATCTGAGCTCGTCCTGATGAGAACGCGTGTGTGGGTCTTTCTAAACCCCTTTGTGCTACCAGGACAAACTATCATAATGTCCAGTAACATGTGTTCTGTGTCTTCGCACACTGTTCCAAGGAACTGCCGAGTAGCATGAAATGAGGGCAAACTCGTTTAGCCATGTCTTGTAACATACCCCAGATGCTAGAGAGAGCATCCAGACTTTGGTTCATCTCTGGTACAGAAGTGACGTTCTTCAAACTGACCCATACATCATACAGACGTAAGGCGAACAGTTTGGAATGTCTTTTGACGCTTTGTTCAACCAACCAATTACGACCGCAGTGGTTGATCAAGCATGAACGAGAAGAGGAACGATCGACACAACCTCTAAGGCACTTCAAACCAACCACCCAGACTAACAATACTCCTGGAGCAGAGGATAGCGAGTGGTGGGTTCGATGTTGTAGCCTAGAAGTCTCTACAGACGATTATCATCCCTCCACAGGAAATTCAAGTCTTGGTAACCCCAGTAACGAATAGCAACAAACAGACTTTATTTCATTATGTACAAGATTTGACAACACGATCAAGTCGGGGGTGGTGTTGTATTTATGAGGATGACTTCCTCATCTGGGCTGACAGGCTGCAGTCAATTGTTCAGCCAGTACAAGTGATCTCAAATAATGCAGACCCTGGAAACCCGAAACATGTCTCTCAGACAGTGTGAGGCAAACAACAATCTTCGATGATAGCCGTTAAGGTACAGTTGGTATGAAGTGCCATGGTTGATGCCATTGCCCTACTCTCATGCGTGTTAGATGCCAATGGAGGTGGTAATCGCTCAAAGGTATATGCTTGAAGGATGAGCGAGCACAACCAAAAGGACACTATTGTCAAGGATACCTATGTGGTCGGAGCTGTCAACAAGGAGATGAACAGACGCTTGCATCAGATCTTTCAATGCTTGAAGGTATATTTTGAGGGCTCTAACTGGGCAGAGTGAAAGATCTTCCTGATCGTCTGGGATTAAAACTGTAAGCAGCGGAGGGATGGTATATAATCTGTCTGTCTGTCCTGGGAGTTAATTTATAGCCACAAAGACCCACCGAAGGAACATTTGACCATGGCGCTTCCTCTCAAAACAAACTCTGTTGACGTCCAGTGCTGTGGCTAATGCTAACCAAAAGACGGTCCTGAGTGAAATATGCTCAAAGTCTTTATTAGCCAAGGATACATAATCCTCAGATGACAAATTCGTAAGATGACAATCAAATACCAAACTGGTGGTCTGAACTTGGAAGATTGGTCCACCAGCTTGTACGATCATAGCGAGGATTGCAGTTTCACCACTGACTACTCTGGTTGTAGCTATCACCGAGTTAAAGGCAGCTAAGTAAGTTGCAAGCGTAGAACCTTTCAACTACCTCAAATTTCTCAAGTGCTGAAGATATTCAGCTGTCTGCTCTGGTGATGCTATAGAAGGGGAACGGATGTTTCGAGCCTTGAAATATTCTTCGAATGCTTGACCCTCATGATCATAGAAAGCGAGTCAATCAGTTTGAAGAAGATCATCGTGTGAAGGAGTGATGCAGATTGTGTTGATCCCATCTTGTTTATGTACCCTACGACTGACGAATTGTCCGACTGAGGATTGTAGTGTCTCTGCCCAGTGTGTTACAACACCACTTGGAATTTGAGATTGTTGATATGTAAGCTTTGTTCGTCTGTCGTGTGTTGGTGTCAAAGAGACTTTGTTGCCCAAAGCCCTCAATGAAGGTGATGCTGCAATGACGTCAGGAGTTGAATCTTGAGCTTGTGGTTGTCCTTCTGCAGAAACGTCTTTAATGGCTGAAGTTGAAGCTTACCTCTCGCTGTGAGAGCCTGGGCAGAAGTTAGGAGATCTAAACCTTCTTGCCACTGATGAGTTGTCCGAGATTGTTTAGTACCAATGGCACTTGTGACTGTATCTTCACCCATCTGTCCCATTGAACAAACATCTTGCTAGCTTAGGTAAAATCTCAGGGACCTGACATTGGGACCTAATGTTTCTATTGCATGCTTGTCTCACAATGTACCTATTGTGTCTCGTGGAGCTAGTACTTGGCTGGCTACTTGTCAGCAGTGGTGTTGATCTTAGTGGCAGTCAGTGTTGATACAAAAGGGTCATCCAGTATTGTCAAGTTGGATGCAAAAGTCCCAAGTCTTCCACCTACTGGTGTATCGTACACTGGGGGCAGTTGACAAGTCATTGAGTAGAGGCGTCAGCACATGATGCTGATTCTCCTTTGTCATCCAAACTTTGATTGAAAGTGATGTGCCTGGAGAATGTGGCCACTAGACGCCAGCCTTTCTGACCTCAATGCTTGTTCGCACAAAAGTTAGCATTCTTGAAGTGCAAGTCCTCCTTCAAAATCTTGTGCGATTGTACTGAGCCGACCTCCTAAGATTCCTGCAGGTCGAATTGTGAACTACTGCTGATCCACAAGGGGCAGGTTCATTGAATGATAAAGGGGTTTGACAATTCTGATGCACCATGTCTGATCATCGAACCTGTTCCAATCCCCTTGAAGGTTCATTGACACATTGCTCCTGACGACTGTTAGATTTATCCATCTACATCCCTGGGTCTCTCTAACCGATGCTCCAATTTGTCCCTCATCAAACGTGTAGCACAGTTAGGGTTCGTTTAACCTCTCTGAAGATAATGTTGCAGGTCATCATGATAAGAAGCCAAAGATGGTGACAGGAGCTGGCTTCTCTACTCTAATAACAACCGATCAAGGCATAACAGATGATTCTCGAGGTAAGTCAGACTTAAAGAAAGAGTCAGAACCTTCTTTAAGGGAGAGTGACAGATCATCGACGAAGGTATAGCCCTTCACCAAACCCAAAAGTACTGCTTTCTATGTAGACCTTTTGGCTTTCTTGGCTGCCAACAGTCCTTGTTCATCAGACATAGTTTTTGAGCACATTTTCTCTTGTAGACGGACACATCGTCATCATTGAACCCTCTACTCCCGTTACATCTGTCTGACCAAATTGTGTAGTTAGTAATGGGGCTCAATGTTCCGTTTCCATGTGATATTGTGTTTTTGACCTTGATCTGATTGACCTTTGTACTTCAAACATACTGAATGCTGAAACTTTTCATAGCTGAAATTTAGTATAATGTGTAATTGGTCGTGGGGATTTCTTGCCTTTTTCGTGATATTTTTTTTTTTTACCTTTATTTGACTTTTGCACTTTGACAGTGCTGCACTTCCTTGCACTGTAAACATGTCATGAGAACTAACAGAACCAGTGAAGATGAAACTCAACATGATTGTTCCCAGTACTTATGAAAGCTTGTCGTTTATTTCTTAAATACACAACTAACAGACTAATAACATATTTGATGGCTTTTTGAAATTAACCTGTATTCACTTTTTACAAGACCAATACACAGGAACAGGTTTGTAAATGCTTTGTTTTATATCATTGTATGAAATGCAGTGTCAAAATACCTCTGAATTTGAGAAAATATGAACTTTTTAAAAATCCCAATTTTGAACAAAATAACTTTCTTTTCCCAGTTTGCCTGCCATAGGCACTTAGTTAAAAACCTGTATAAATCCATGTCGTCATCATGGTCATTTATGGATTTGTGTCGTATCTCTATCAGGATGCTGACCACTCCGACAGAGGTGAAATTGGGTTTAACGTCCCGTCCAAGATTATTGCACTTATATAGCGACGTGCATGCACGTGTATGTGTGTGTGTGGCTGCTTGTACTAGTCCGGACTGATGCCGATTTATAGTGCTAGCTCACTGAGATACCATGCCGCAATTTAACATGAATACCCCACTCAGACACAGTATACTGACTCCGAGCCGACCAGTCCTTGTTTTAGCCCCTTAATGCCGACCGCCAGACAGGGTAACAACAAGTACAATCTTTTAACGTCTTTTTGTATGATGCGGCCCGGGATCGAACCCTGGACCTTCCGCTCTCCGGGCGGACGCTCTACCACAAGACCACGGAGGCGGTCTCACACCCACAGAGGACACATGGCCAGGAGTGAGTAACTTGCCAGATTACAAGCCCACATTCCCTGCCTGGAAGT